AGAATTAGAAAGAAGAGTCCGTAATTTATCAACCATCAATTTTGTAGAGACTATGTCAACTTTTAACATTTATTACAGGGACTTTTCTCTTGCGGCATTTTGTTTTGAGTGAGAGGGTGATTGCTGAATGGTACATCAACCTGTAAGAATTCTGACATGATCACCGGACAAAGTATTCCAAATTAATATGGTCCTACTCAAAGGATAATAATATGTATCTAGATAATGCTGGTGCAATGGTATCTTCATCAGAAAGGATAACGTAATGATTGCAATGGTGAAATTCGCAAGTAAATATCACCACTACCACACCATGTGCAAAAAGTAATTAATGAAAACACATTTACCACCCAAAATCAATGCACATGTAGTTGAACTACCAAAGCACAAAAGCTTTAAGTCAATTTTTAGCACTAAGACATGAACATTGCCTACCCATTTAGGTCATCAATTATTCATGATGATAATCAAAAATCATAAAGTATAAGTAACACATAAGAGCTCTAAATAACCAAAAATCAAAGTAAACATAATTAGCTCTAAATAATCAATTGAAAAAAAGTTTAAATCGTTGCCGAGAATCGAACCGGTCTTTCGGGTGAGAGCCGAATATCCTAACCAACTAGACTACAAACGTAAAGCTTTGATTACACCAACAATGGGAATCATGGAACACTAAGCTACAAAATCCTTATACAGTTATACATTGAACATAAAAATAAAAAGAAAAAAAAACTCAATAATAAGAAAAAGAAAATTGAGTTGAGTTGAATCGTCCTGGTCTTGGTTTGGTTATACGTTGCAGTGAAGATGGTGTTCTTTTCTATACAACATTCATCCTTTTCACTCTTGCATTGCAACCTTCTCTACTTTTCACCCCAAATATACTGTACCTATAACGTGATTTAACGATTGAAAACTTAAAAATAAATAAATAAAGTTGATTATTGATACCGTGTTACTAATATGATATTACCATTCTTTTCTATTATTTTGTGTTGGACTAGTTCAATATTATTTTATCTTATAACTTTTCCAAGACGGCAAATGGTATGCTGAAAAGTAAATTTAGACCGGAATACAAATTCAATGAAGATATTGGAATTTTCGTATTATTTTAAACTTAAAACACCCAATTTTCCTTTTTGCCTTCACACATACAATAAAATCAACTAAATCTATTAAATTTGACTTTATACACGAATCAGATTTTATTCTATGTTGAACCATATTTACATTGTGTATTTAATAATGAAAGGGTTTTGTGGTTTATGAATCTAATGTTTAAATCGATGTTGTTGACCCTGCTATTATTGGGGCGTGATTGCCAATAAATCAATAATAATTGATTTCATCTTCAGTAATTAAATAATGAAAACACATGAAACAAACGTGGCATGTTTTTCTTTATTTGGGTGTCAACACGTGTCCCATATGCACGCAAAAATAAAGGCCGAACGACTACACCCACCCAGGTTTTCCTTAAAGACAATATGGTACCCAAATAGTTTAAAAACGATAAATAGGGATTTTTTCGTCATTATCTGTGTGATTTCTGTCAAACTAAGGGTAACAATAGTAATTTTTGCAGAATCACAAAGTTTTAAATTTAAATTATCTTTCTCTGGGTATGGAGCAAGCTTCTTTTAAAAGATTAAGAAGTTTTGACACGTTGACATTAATTAAAAAAAAAAAAAAAAAAAAAGAGTAAATGAAAAGTCTATTGGCTTTTCCTTGTAACGAAAAGTCTTTTTAGCTTTTCTTTTGTTACGGCTTTGTTCTTTGTAAATTATTTTCAACTAAAACTTGTCATGTTGCTGAATTGAATACAATCATTTTTTTTTTTATAAATTATTGAATTGAGCTAGATTGAATACAATCATTTTTTTTTTATAAAGAATTATTGAATTCAATTGAATTGAATTTTTATAAAGAATAATGATTGACGCCTAAACGAGGATAAATCCTCTAGCACTACGACTCATGCACTGTGCAAAAGAAACACAAGGCTAGGATGTACAATCCTAAACAACACATCCCAAACCTGAACCAAAAAAGAGGCAAGGGTGCCTTTACAAAAGCTTGAAAAAAAACTAGCCCAAGCAACTAGCTTTCCCACAACACTTAGAGCAGAAAATCACCAGCAGAAAACAAAAAGGATGCAGCCTAGCAGCAGCAAAAAACCAGCGGCTAAAGCTTCCAGGAACTATGAACAAACAGCAAAACCAAACAAAAATATCCCAGCCCAAACAACCAACTTTCACGAAGCACCTTGAGCAGGAAATCAACAACAGAAAGCAAGGAAAATTCAGCCTAGCAGCAACAAAAACCAGTAGCAAAAGCATCCAGGAACCACAACCAAAACAACAATCAACAACATAAGGTCCCACACAGATTAGCTCTAACTTCCAATTCTCCAAAGCACTCCAACCCCCCACAACAACGGCATACTCCAACCTACCATCAATCCAACAAAATCACAAATTCTGCAATCATTATAAACTAGAACATACATGCAGAAATGCCCAAGTGCCCATAGCCCACCACACTCGCCCACCAAAACAAGCCAAACCAGACACCAACACACATCTGACCATACGTAAGAAACAAAATCAGCACCCACCCCAAACACTCGAAATTCCACCAAGAAACCCCTAAGACAAAACAAAAAGACCAACCAAATCCACCCAATCAAAAGACATAAAACCATTGTCAATGAAGCCGGCGATTGGGAAAGGGGGGAGTGAAACGTCACCAAGTGTCAGAGAGAAAACATGCAGGGATCACGAAGTAGGCGATTCGGCGTCTGGCGAGGTGTGACGGCGNCTTTGTGAGAGGGCAGGCCTCTGCTTATATAGTGGTCGTCTGGTCTCCCAATCCTTGTGGGAACAGGAGTCCTCATCTGACTCTGATGTAAACCCTAGAAGAACTAGGGTCGTGGTGAGTTGTCTTACCCGTGTCCAAATAGGAAGGTTACTCTGTTTAAGAGAATTCGCTAAGTAGGAAAGTGGTCAAAATTAGGAAGGCGTCTTTGAATTGGAGGTTGATTAGGAATAGGAAAGTACTATGACAGAGCTGTGGGCTCTGGATTCGTCCGTGGACCAAGGACATGGGCTAGGTTTGAGAGGCTTGTGCCCGCTTGACTTGGGCCGATTTGTACCTCATGTTAGAAGAGAACTAACATGACTTGGGCCTTTGCAGGACTGGGCCTGGTCCGTCTTCGCTAATGGTCCTATTTCCCTATTTGGGCCAAGGACGATTTTTGGCCCTAGCACAATCTGTTTTCAAAAATTTATTATAAGACTTATGCACATTTTGATTTAATTGTGTACTTGTACAAACTCTAGAACTTTGAAAAACAGAGGATCAGACTAACAAATAGGATTTAGAGTTTAATTTTTCATAAACTTGTTGACAGACGTTAAACGACTTTCATGGAAGAACCTTCAATATCTTGACTTTCCCATTCTTTGGCTGCTGGTTTTGTTGTTGATGCAAGAGAAGAGAAGCTTCATGGGTCAGGTGGATGCAAGAGAAGAGAAGATGTTGGTCTTGTTGTTGATATGATTCGGCAGAAGAAAATAAGATGCTTTTTGTTTCACATGGACTGAATTCCATATGCTTAATGTTTGCTTTTATTTTGTGCTTTGCTTTGAATGTTGTTTTTGGATTAAGGATTGTTAAATTTACAGTTTGTGTTTTTCTTTGAATGTTATTTGGATGAATGTTTGTTGAATTTAGAGCTTATTTTTTACTTTGAATGTTGATTTTTGGATGAATGTTGTGATTTTCATTTCTCGGGAGGCCAATGTGAAACTGATTTGCAAGGGAAGTTTTATTGTTCTATGACAGAAAGAACAAGTATCACAAATTACGGGCGAAAGTACCGGGATTGGTTCCTAGTTACTATTTGTCCTACTTTCCTTTTTTTACAAACTGTTCTAATTCACTAACCAATTTTCATACATTCATATGAGCTGCATTAGTTTAATAACGTGCCAAAACACAATAACTGTTCTCTTACTTTTTACTTGGATTATTCTAGTGGGTTTTGCTTGATTCCTGACCTAGGTTAAGAGAAAGCAGTTTAGTTTGTCATAGCATGATAGCTAAATCCCCAAGTTCTTCATGATTCTTTAGTTTGTTCCTTTTAGTTCATCATCAACCTGAGCTGAATCTTGGGGAAAAATTGTTGTTATTGATTTGTGGCCTGTGATGTGATTGAATTGCTTGCCATTGCAAAAACTTATTTGTCTGTTTGTATGAATTGTGTGCTTAGCCTTGAAGTTCAAGTCTGAGATACCAATAAATCCTATGTTTCATGAGAGACTAAGTTACAGTAGGGACCCTCTTCAAAAGCTAGACAGATTCCTGAAATATCATTAGATTTTCTTCCCAACTTCAACTGACAACTGTAAAGACTTTCAAACATACAACTTCAATTGAATCATGCGATTTTGGTGATAATAATAGTTAATCTGATCAGAAGGCAGAATTAAATTGAATTTTGATACTATGCAACTGTATGTTATATTTTTTTTTATATTGGCTCAACTCGTGTAATATATAACCGAGCCGAGCCGAGCTCGAGCCATTCGTTTTCTTAAACGAGCCGAGCTCGAGCCATTCGTTTTCTTAAACGAGCCGAGCTCGAGCTCGTGTGCCAGAGCTCAAGCTCAAACTCGAGCCTCCTACTAATGCATCCGAGCCGAGCTCGAGCCAGCCACTACTAGTATGCACCCCTAGTTGAAACTAATTAATAAGAGTGAGCTTTATATCTTTATGATATCTTTACATAATAAAATGAATGAAGTTAAATATTATATTAATAATTTAATATTAAGCTTAGTGAAAATTAGAAGGTCGGTGAGGTCAGGAGTCAGGACAGGACAGGTCAAATATAAGTTTATCCTTATCTAACTTCCAAACCCCAACGCATGAATCCCCATTTTTAAAACGTTTTTTATAAGTCTCCCAACACGGCACCGTATATATTTCACGAAATTTCCTTCAAATCCTTTGCAGACAAGCCAAGCAAATCGAACTTTCTCTGTGCCTCTAGTTCTACCATTTATTTCTTTTATTATCTTCTGTATCTCTGAAAAAAAACTAAACCCTAATTTTCTCTTCTAATTAATTTCCACATTCGCGATCTCTCTATCCATGGCTTCTGGATCGTCGGGCCGGGCCAATTCAGGCTCCAAGGGCTTCGATTTTGCCTCCGATGACATTCTCTGCTCCTATGAAGACTACGCCAACCAGGATTCTTCTAATGGAAACCATTCTGATCCTGTGATTACCTCCAGTTCCAACAAGGTACTTTAATTACTCGTCCAGGCACGAAATTGTAATTTAGCGCTTTTCCTGTGGGTGGTTCGGAGTTTGTTTCGCAGATGTGATTAGGGTTTTCGAATTTGGGATTTTTTTTTAAAATCAAGGTGATTTTTCTTTTGGATTATGTTAATTTTTTTTAATTAATCAGGAGATCTGGTTGATTGATTGAAATTTGCAGAACATGAGATTGAATTTCTGACTTCATATCAGGCTTTATACAAGTAGATAAATAGAGTTTGATTTAATTTAATGGCTATAGTTGGCTAACGGACTTTGTTTGTGTGGACGTGATTGTGAACAGTTCTCTTTAGTGTTCTTATTCTTGGAGTAAGAAATATTATTGATGGTTAGATATGTTTGAATGTCTTGTGGGTTTAGAAATTAGAAATTTTAGACATGCTTCGAGGGCATACGACGTTTGTTTTGTTGATGATAAAAAGAAATTATGGTGGCTAACAGCTAATAACCCCCATAAAGGTACTAAAATCATGCATCCTTGAAATTTAATATATTTTAGACATAGTGTTACTTATTGATGCCTTTTTCCCTTTAATTTCTATCGATGATGCTGCTATTGAATCCACTGAATTTTCGGCGATTTAATTTTTCAGGATTTCCAAAAGAGCAGAAGGTCAAGACCATCAGTGTATTCTGGTAATGCCTATAGCCATCCAGAAGATTCTCTCAACCAAGATGTAACTTCTATGGTTGAACTAACCATGAAAAAACATACTGATAATCTCATGCGTTTTCTTGAGGGAATCAGTTCACGTTTATCGCAGTTGGAATTGTATTGTTATAATCTTGATAAATCAATTGGTGAAATGAGGTCTGAATTAGTTCGCGACCATTTAGAAGCAGATACAAAGCTTAAAACACTTGAGAAACATATTCAGGAGGTGAGTTACAACTACGGAATTATATTAAGATTTAGGTTTTACTACTAAGAGGTATGAAAATGCCATGTTTTTTTTCCCTTCTTAAGCATGTGTGATGAAAACTTGAATATGTTTTTTGAAGCATTTGAAATGGAGAAATGGATATTATTTCTTTATTGCACCCTTCATGGAAGTTTATTCTCTTGTATTCGCAACTGGAAATATTAATAAGAAATGGTTCATTAACCATAGTTCAGATGATTGGAAATATGCATTGTATTATGTGCCCCAATGATAAGTGTCTATGATACCAGGTATATACCTTGGTTAATGGTCAGTTCAATATTATTATTTTTCTGTGCAGAAATAAATGTTGTTTTGGATTATTGTCTCAGAGCTTTGATTTAATGAAAAGTTGGAAATGTAGAACTATTGTTAACTTTTGTTTCTGTTCTTTTTTCTGCTTAATAGTCAGCTGTAATGTTGTGATTACTATTCCTGTTGTAGAAGTATTTAATAAATCAGTGAATATCTTTATGTTTGCCATTGTTTATCTTTAAATTGCAAATGTTAGCTAGTCTCTTCAGTTGATTGTCGACTCTAGAATTAGATGGGTTTCGTATTATCCTGTTTTGAGCTTTTGCCTTGATCATCATTTTTTAAATTTACTTAAATTATATTTGAATGTGACAATTCTTGTTTCTTAAACAGTAAATGAGCTTGGATTTATATATTTGTTTCTATTAACTGAATGTGATAACACCTCTCCCTGATTGGCATAGATTTCAAAATTGTACACATAGTTTTTGCCTTCAGAAATTTTCTTACACTTGAAGTTGGCAGTGATCTTCACACTGATTGAACTATGGTGTTCATTGTGTATGTGGGTGTTTTCTGCTTTGTTGTTGACAATTCAGTCTGGTTGTCTTTTTTTTTTTTTTTTCTCATCTGACATCTAAGCAGTTTTAACTTGTTTGATTTTGCTGAATAACATTTGTATTACCCACTTCAGGTCCACAGGTCTGTGCAGATCCTAAGAGACAAGCAAGAACTTGTTGAGGCACAAAAAGAGTTAGCAAAGCTTCAACTTGTGCAGAAGGAGTCGTCCTCTTCAAGCCATTCACAATCCACTGAGGAGAGAGCATCACCAGCTGCCTCTGAAACTAAAAAGAATGAAAATGTATCTGATATGCACAATCAGCAGTTAGCTCTGGCCCTTCCCCATCAAGTAGCTCCACAGCAACACTCTCAGCCACCCCCCTCTCAGCCACCCCCACAGAATTTAACACATCAGCAATCCTATTATATGCCCACAAACCAATTACCAAACCCCCAAGCTCCAGCCCTTGCACCCTCCCCCTCCCCCGCCCCTGCCCCCACCCCCACCCCCACCCCAGTCCCAAGTCAACAGCCTCAAGTTCAATATTTGCCTTCTGATCCTCAATACCGAACTTCCCAACTGCCAGACCCCTCTAGGTTGGCCCCACAGGTTACGCAATCTCAGGTTAATCCAGTGCCTCCTGGCCACCAATTTCCCTCTCAGTATCACCAGCAATGGCCACAGCAGTTACCTCAGCAGGTACAACAAACGCAACAGCCCTCAATGCAGCCCCAGATGAGGCCCCCATCAACACCAGTTTACCCAACATACCCTCCCAGCCAACCAACAAACCCACCTCCGGAGATGCTGCCAAATAGTGGATCTATGCAGGTATCATATTCAGGAGTTCCTCAGCCAGTATCTAGCCGTGCTGATGTGATGTCTTATGGATATGGAGCACCGGGTAGAACCGCTCCCCAGCAGGCACCACCACCTCAGCAAATTAAGGGCGGTTATGGGGCACAACCTGGTGACGGATATGCAGCTTCTGGGCCACTGCCAACTCTTCCTCCAGGGAGTGCATATATGATGTATGAAGGTGAAGGGGGGAGAACACATCATCCATCCCAACACTACCCACAGAGTGGATATCCTCCACCAAATCTTCAACCTACTGGAGGTGCTAATCTTATGAGCCGGACTCCAAGCCATTCACAATTCATTCGCAACCATCCGTATAATGAGTTGATTGAGAAATTGGTGAGCATGGGTTTTAGGGGTGATGTTGTGGCCAACGTGATTCAGAGAATGGAAGAGAGTGGTCAGCCTGTGGATTTTAATGCTGTGCTTGACAGGTTGAATTTGCATTCTTCTGGGGGTACTCAGAGAGGATGGTCAGGGTAAAGAAAAGTATTGTCATGCTATATTACAGTGACAATTAAATCTTTGCATCGCAGTGAATAAAGGTTTCTTAATTTGTATACGTGTGTAACCTTATGTTTTTTTATTTTACTTTGTAATCTTTTTCTGTCTCTATGCATGGTCCAACTTTTATCTGGCCCAATTTCTCAACATTTCAGTAAATCATTTGTTAGAATAGACTGTGATATACGTGCTTGTCAATTGCGTTAAAAAGCAGAAAGCTGAGAGAAAGCAGAGATGCCTAGTTGTTGAATATTTGAATTGATTGGGTTAGAAAGAAGAGTCCCTAATTTGTCAACCATCAATTTTGTAGAGATTATGTCAACTTTTAACATTTATTACAGGGACTTTTCTCTTGCGGCATTTTGTTTTGAGTGAGAGGGTGATTGCTGAATGGTACATCAACCTGTAAGAATTCTGACATGATCACCTGGGACAAAGTAATTCCAAATTAATATGGTCCTACTCAAAGGATAATAATCATGTATCATAGATAATGCTGTGTGCAATGGTATCTTCATCAGAAAAGGATAACGTAATGATTGCAATGGTGAATATTCGGCAAGTAAATATCACCACTACCACTACCATGTGCAAAAAGTAATTAATGAAAACCACATTTAACCACCACAAAATCAATGCACATGTAGTTGAACTACCAAAGCACAAAAGCTTTAAGTCAATTTTTAGCACTAATGACATGAACATTGCCTACCCATTTAGGTCATCAATTATTCATGATGATAATCATAATCAATAAAAGTATAANAATGGTACATCAACCTGTAAGAATTCTGACACGATCACCTTGGACAAAGTAATTCCAAATTAATATGGTCCTACTCAAAGGATAATAATCATGTATCATAGATAATGCTGGGTGCAATGGTACCTTCATCAGAAAAGGATAACGTAATGATTGCAATGGTGAATATTCGGCAAGTAAATATCACCACTACCACTACCATGTGCAAAAAGTAATTAATGAAAACCACATTTAACCACCACAAAATCAATGCACATGTAGTTGAACTACCAAGCACAAAAGCTTTGAGTCATTTTTTAGCACTAATCACATGAACATTGCTTACCCATTTAGGTCATCAATTATTCATGATGATAATCATAATCAATAAAAGTAAAAGTAAACACATAATGAGCTCTAAATAACCAATAAAATCAAAGTAAAACATAATTAGCTTTAAATAATCATTAAAATAACATTTAAACATAATTAGCTCTAAATAATCAATTTAAAAAAAAAAAAAGTTTAATTCCATTGCCTGGAATCAAACCCGGATCTTTCGGGTGAGAGCCAAATATCCTAACCAACTAGATTACAATGGATTCATTGAAATGTTTTAGGTAGATTAATTTTATATTTAAATTGTACATGTAAAGCTTTTACACCAATGATGGGAATCATGGAACACTAAGCTCCTGACAAAATCCTTATACAGTTATACATTGAACATAAAAATAAAAAGAAAAAAAAACTCAATAATAAAGAAAAAGAAAATTGAGTTGAGTTGAATCCGTCCCTGGTCTTGGTTTTGGTTATACGTTGCAGTGAAGATGGTTTCTTTTCTCATACAACATTCATCCTTTTCACTCTTGCATTGCAACCTTCTCTACTTTTCACCCCAATATATACTGTACCTCATAACGTGATTTAACGATTTGAAAACTTAAAATTAAAAATAAATTAAAGTTGATTATGTGATATCCGTGTTACTAATATGATATTACCAATTCTTTTCTATTTATTTTGTGTTGGACTAGTTCAATATTATTTTATCTTATAACTTCTTCCAAGACGGCAAATGGTATGCTGAAAAGTAAATTTAGACCGGAATACGAAATTCAATGAAAGATATTGGAATTTTCGTTATTTATTTTAAACTTAACAACCACCAATTTTCCTTTTTGCCTTCACACATACAATTAAAATCAACCAAATCTATTAAATTTGACTTTATACACGAATCAGATTTTATTCTATGTTGAACCATATTTATCATTTGTGTATTTAATAATGAAAGGGTTTTGTGGTTTATGAATCTAAATGTTTAAATCGATGTTGTTGACCCTGCTATTATTGGGGCGTGATTGCCAATAAATCCCGCCTAAATCATAATTAATTTGATTTCATCTTCAGTAATTAAATAATGAAAACACATGAAACAACGTGGCATGTTTTTTCTTTTATTTGGGGTGTCAACACGTGTCCCATTATGCACGCACAAAATAAAGGCCGAACGAATAATACCCACCCAAGGTTTGCCTCAAAGACAATTTGGTACCCAAATAGTTTGAAAATGACAAATAGCTATTTTCCGTCATTATCTGTTAGTGATTTCCGTCAATTAAAAGGTAACATAGTAATTTTTGCAGAATCACAATGTTTTAAATTTTAATTATCTTTCTCTGGATATGGAGCAAGCTTCTTTTAAAAGATTAAGAAGTTTTGACACGTTGACATTGATTAAAAAAAAAAAAAAAAAGAGAAATGAAAAGTCTATTGGCTTTCCTTGTACGAAAAGTGTTTTAGCTTTTCTTTTGTTACGGCTTTGTTCTTTGTAAATTATTTTCAACTAAAACTTGTCAGTTGCTGAATGAATACAATCATTTTTTTTTTTATAAATTATTGAATTGAGCTAGATTGAATACAATCATTTTTTTTTTATAAAGAATTATTGAATTCAATTGAATTGAGATTTTATAAAGAATAATGATTGACGCCTAAACGGGATAAATCCTCTAGCACTACGACTCATGCAATGTGCAAAAGAAACACAAGGCTGGATGTACAATCCAAACAACACACCCAAACCTGAACCAAAAAAGAGGCAAGGGTGCCTTTACAAAAGCTTGAAAAAAAACTAGCCCAAGCAACTAGCTTTCCCACAACACTTAGAGCAGAAAATCACAGCAGAAAACAAAAAGGATGCAGCCTAGCAGCAGCAAAAAACCAGCGGCTAAAGCTTCCAGGAACTATGAACAAACAGCAAAACCAAACAAAAATATCCCAGCCAAACAACCAACTTTCACGAAGCACCTTGAGCAGGAAATCAACAAACAGAAAGCAAGGAAAATTCAGCTAGCAGCAACAAAACCAGAACAAACCTAGCAAAAGCATCCAGGAACCACAACCAAAACAACAATCAACAACATAAGGTCCCACACAGTTAGCTCTAACTTCCAATTCTCCAAAGCACTCCAACCCCCCACAACAACGGCATATCCAACCTACCATCAATCCAACAAAATCACAAATTCTGCAATCATTATAAACTAGAACATACAGCAGAAATGCCCAAGTGCCCATAGCCCACCACACTCGCCCACCAAAACAAGCCAAACCAACACCAAACACATTGACCATACGTAAGAAACAAAATCAGCCACCACCCAAACACTCGAAATCCACCAAGAAACCCCTAAGACAAAACAAAAAGACCAACCAAATCCACCCAATCAAAAGACATAAAACCATTGTCAATGAAGCCGGGATGGAAAGGGGGGAGGAAACGTCACCAAGTGTCAGAGAGAAAACATGCAGGGATCACGAGTAGCGATCGGCGTTGGAGGTGTGACGGCGTCAAGCCAATGAAGATTCGGCATGGCAGGTGCCGGACTCCATGGTTTTGGTGGTCAATGTTGGGTTTGGTTTTGTCGGCGTTTGAATGGATTTTGTGATGAAATCTCATCGACTAATGAAGATTTCAGAACGCTGGAGAAGAAGGAAAAAAAAAAGCAATTTCGTCAATCTATCCATCAAACACTGAGCGATGAAGAAAAAGAAATAAGAAACACACAAAAAAAAAAAAAAAAAAAAAAAAAAAAACAGAGCGATGGAGAAAAGAAATAGAAAATCAGAATGACAGAGAAATTTTTTTTTTCAGTAATTGATGTGGCAACCTTTGAAGGGCATTCCAATATTTTTCAGAAGTATAGTCTTTAACAGAAATCTCTAACTGAGAATGACGGAAATTACTTGTTTGTCTTTTTCAAACTATGTGGGTATCAATTTGTCTTTAAAACAAACCTTGGGTGGGTGCATGTCGTTCTCCCCACAAATAAATATCCCACTTGCCTCACCTAAAATGCCTCTTAAGTCAAAACCAACTCAATACTCTTAATCGTCCATTAATACGAAAATTAAAACAAATTTATTTAAATTTTCGTTTCCATTATTGATATGGTAAAATGTAGCAGTTAACGCTCTATATATAATAATAATAATTACAAATTAAAGTATTGAATGATGCAAAGTTGATGAATAAAATGATATTATTCTCATGAAATTGTCAAAAAATGGGATGAGATCCTAAATTCTCAACAGTCACCTCCACTAAATCTTTCTGTTTTTTAACAACACATTCTACTTGTCTCTTCATTGAAGACATGTGATGTGATGTGACCCCCCCATTTCAAGCTTTTTCTTATCCCAACTATGTTATGAATATGCTAAGCGTATGCTTTTTAAATGTATTTATTTAATTTATAATATAAAATATGTTTGTAATTATTTTATCATGGTTATGGGTTGTCGTTTTAAATACAAGTTCACATCCGTTGTTTCTTAACCAGCTACGCAACCGAGTCTTCCGTCTCTTAGTTAGTAAGGTTCCTGCCCATTTACTAATAAAAAAAATAACATTTAATCTAGACCCTCCACGTGACACAAGATCCAACCTACTTCAGGGTCCACACGCTGCCGTACAACTTCTCAACGGCCAAACTTTTCAAAACCCCAACGGAGGGAGCCTTCGATTGAAAATTTCCTCGTTATTTGTTCAAATTCAGAGACACAGCAACAAACTTTGAATTGTTGCTAAATTACCCATCCGTACTTGGATGGCCGTTGGATCTAGTTAGACTTTAGAGGGCTGTATATGTAAAAATTGAAATTATTTTCGGGCTATATAGTGAAGTTTTGAATTTAAAAAGCGCGTTTGACTGGATCTTTGGCAATAAAAAAAACTCAAGTGGTGATAGAATAATTCAGGTTGGGAGTGAGAACGCTCTCAAAAGAAGAAAAAGGCTTTGTTTATTGATACACAACTTATTCTAAAAGCAAAATTCAAACCTAGAAAACGAGATGGCGAAACTTTCCAAAGTGATTCCTCTTAATTGTTTACATACCCCTCAACGTCTAAATATTACATACTTGCCTTCATAAAGACAAGTGAACTAAAAAAAAAAAAAAGAAACAAAACTTATTAGTACAGATAATCTAACTCAATTAAGTAATAATTATTCTATTACCTTATTTGAGATGTTTAAATCAAAATCAAAGATGGTAAAAATTAGAAAAAGAGGGTGTAACTGATAACAAATAAAACTACTGTAGGAGCCACTACAATTTCCTCAAAATTAAAACACTCCCCATTCATTTCTTTCTCCTTCATCTCTACACTAACAGCAACTGTTTCTCTTTCTCTCTCGTCTTTTTCATTTTCAAAAACCAAAAAACCCCAAAACCCACATGCTATCATGAGTAATCTCCGCCACCGTGCCGGTTCATCCCGGCCCAGACACGACCACCAACCCGAGGAAGAGGAGCCTTACAATGTAATTCCTGTCCACAACCTCCTTGCTGACCACCCTTCCCTCCGCTTCCCCGAGGTACGAGCCGCCGCCGCCGCTCTCCGCACCGTCGGAAGTCTCCGCAAGCCTCCATACACCCAATGGCTTCCCCACATGGACCTTCTCGATTGGCTCGCACTGTTCTTCGGATTTCAAAAGGACAACGTTCGAAACCAGCGTGAACACTTGGTTCTCCATTTGGCCAATGCTCAGATGCGTTTAACGCCACCTCCGGACAACATCGACACGCTGGACGGCAGCGTTTTGAGGAAATTCCGGCGCAAATTGTTAAAGAATTACACCAACTGGTGTTCGTATTTGGGGAAGAAATCGAACATCTGGATCTCGGATCGGAACTCCGACCAACGTCGTGAACTCTTGTATGTATCGTTGTATCTTTTGATTTGGGGCGAAGCAGCGAATCTGAGGTTCATGCCAGAGTGTATTTGTTATATTTTTCACAACATGGCGATGGAATTGAACAAGATTTTAGAAGATTATATTGACGAGAACACGGGTCAGCCCGTGATGCCTTCCGTATCGGGTGAGAACGCGTTTTTGAACTTTGTGGTGAAGCCCATTTACGAGACGGTGAAGGCGGAAATGGAGAGTAGTAAGAACGGAACAGCGCCACATAGTGCGTGGAGGAACTATGATGATATTAATGAGTATTTTTGGAGTAAGAGGTGTTTTCAGAAGCTGAAATGGCCAATCGATGTTGGGAGTAATTTTTTTGTGCTGTCAAGTAGGACTAAACACGTCGGGAAAACTGGGTTTGTGGAGCAACGATCGTTTTGGAACTTGTATAGGAGCTTTGACAGGTTGTGGGTGATGTTGATATTGTTTATTCAAGCAGCGATTATTGTGGCTTGGAAGGGGAAGGAGTATCCGTGGCAATCGTTGGAGGAAAGAGAAGTGCAGGTTCGTGTTTTAACTGTGTTTATTACATGGAGTGGATTGAGATTTTTGCAGTCTTTGTTAGATATTGGAACGCAATATAGACTTGTTTCGAGAGAGACAATGGGGCTTGGTGTGAGGATGTTGTTAAAGAGTGTTTTTGCGGCTGTGTGGATTTTGGTTTTTGGAGTGTTTTATGCGCGGATTTGGGTGCAGAAGAATCGGGATAATAATTGGTCTGCTCAGGTAGATAGGCGTATAGTAAATTTTCTTCAGGCGGCATTTGTGTTTATTTTGCCTGAGTTGTTGGCAGTAGCTTTGTTTATTCTTCCTTGGGTGAGGAACTTTCTGGAAAGAACGAATTGGAAGATCTTTTATTTGTTAACATGGTGGTTTCAGAGTAAAAGTTTTGTTGGTCGTGGATTGAGAGAAGGGCTTGTGGATAATCTCAAGTATAGTTTATTCTGGATAGTAGTGTTAGCTACTAAATTTTCGTTCAGTTACTTCCTGCAGATCAAACCCTTGGTTGACCCAACGAAACGATTGTTACAACTTAATGATGTGAAGTATGAGTGGTATCAACTCTTCCCTGACAGCAACAGGTTGGCTGTTGGGCTACTGTGGCTGCCTGTAATTTTGATATATTTGATGGATATTCAGCTTTGGTACGCAATTTATTCATCTCTTGTGGGTGCAACAGTGGGCTTGTTCCAGCATTTGGGTGAGATTCGAAATATACAGCAGTTGAGGCTAAGATTTCAGTTCTTTGCAAGTGCTATGCAGTTTAATCTAATGCCTGAGGAGCAGCTGTTGAATGTGAGGGGAACGCTGAGGAATAAGTTCAACGATGCCATTCATCGGTTGAAACTGAGATATGGCCTTGGGAGACCCTATAGGAAGCTTGAATCGAACCAGGTTGAGGCAAACAAATTTGCCTTGATCTGGAATGAGATAATTTCCATTTTTAGGGAAGAGGATATCATCTCTGATACGGAGGTTGAACTGTTGGAGCTGCCGCAGAATTCTTGGAATGTATCGGTTATTCGTTGGCCTTGTTTCTTGCTGTGCAATGAGCTGCTTCTAGCTCTTAGCCAGGCTAAGGAGTTGGTGGATGCTCCTGACAAGTGGCTTTGGTATAAGATTTCTAAGAATGAGTATAGGCGTTGTGTTGTGATAGAAACTTATGATAGCCTGAAGCACTTGATTCTTAATATCATCAGAGTTAACACTCAAGAGCATTCCATTATGACGGTCGTGTTTCAAGAAATTGATCACTCCATTCAGATTGAGAGGTTCACTAAAACATTCAAGATGTCTGTTTTGCCCAAAATTCATGCCCAGTTGATCAAACTTGTTGATTTGTTGAACAAGCCCAATAAGGACATTAACAAGGTGGTGAATGCCCTACAGGCCCTTTATGAGATCGTTATTCGAGATTTTTTTTTGGAGAAAAGGGGCACTGACCAGCTTGTTGAGGATGGCTTGGCTCCTAGTAATCCAGCCTTGCTGTTCGAGAATGCTGTTCAGTTGCCTGACTCTGATAACGAGAACTTCTATCGTCAGGTTAGGCGCTTACACACAATTCTAACATCTAGGGATTCAATGAATAATATTCCTGTTAATCTTGAAGCAAGGCGCAGAATAGCTTTTTTTAGCAACTCACTCTTCATGAATATGCCCCATGCTCCCCAAGTTGAGAAGATGATGTCCTTCAGTGTTCTCACCCCTTACTACAATGAAGAAGTTCTCTACAGTAAAGAGCAACTACGAACTGAGAATGAGGATGGCATATCCATCCTATACTATTTGCAGACAATTTATCCTGATGACTGGAAGAATTTCATGGAAAGGATGCGCCAAGAAGGAATGGTGAAGGATAATGAAATCTGGACGGAGAAGTTGAAGGATCTGAGGCTTTGGGCATCATACAGAGGCCAGACACTTGCTCGCACTGTGAGGGGAATGATGTATTATTATCGGGCTCTTAAGTTGCTGGCTTTTCTTGATTCTGCATCTGAGATGGACATTAAGGAAGGGACCCGAGAACTTGGTTCAATGAGGCGGGATGGCAGCTTGGATCGTTTCGGCTCAGCAAGGTCATCGTCTGTGAAAAGTTTAAGTAGAAATGGTAGTTCAGTTAGCATGCTATTCAAGGGCCATGAGTATGGAACCGCTTTGATGAAATACACATATGTTATTGCCTGCCAGATATATGGGCAACAAAAGGAGAAGAAAGACCCCCATGCTGAAGAAATTTTGTATCTGATGAAGAACAATGAAGCCCTTCGAGTTGCATATGTTGATGAGGTTTCCACAGGGAGGGATGATAAGGAGTATTACTCTGTTCTTGTGAAATATGATCAGCAGTTACAGAGGGAAGTGGAAATCTACAGGGTCAAATTGCCTGGTCCTTTGAAGCTTGGCGAGGGAAAACCGGAGAACCAAAACCATGCCCTTATCTTCACCAGAGGAGATGCAGTTCAGACTATTGATATGAATCAGGACAATTACTTTGAGGAGGCACTTAAAATGCGGAATTTGTTGGAAGAATACAGGCACTACCATGGTATCAGGAAACCTACCATCTTGGGCGTTAGGGAGCACATTTTTACTGGCTCAGTGTCGTCACTTGCTTGGTTTATGTCGGCTCAGGAAACCAGTTTTGTCACCTTGGGTCAGCGTGTCTTGGCAGACCCTTTGAAAATCCGAATGCATTATGGCCATCCTGATGTCTTTGACAGGTTTTGGTTCTTAACTCGAGGAGGCCTCAGCAAAGCTTCTAGAGTGATTAACATCAGTGAGGACATTTTTGCTGGCTTTAACTGCACATTACGAGGAGGCAGTGTTACACACCATGAATACATCCAAGTTGGCAAGGGAAGGGATGTTGGATTGAATCAGATATCTATGTTTGAAGCCAAGGTTGCTAGTGGAAATGGTGAGCAAGTTCTCAGCAGAGATGTGTATAGGTTGGGTCATAGACTGGACTTCTTCCGTATGCTATCATTTTTTTATACTACTGTTGGATTCTTTTTCAACACAATGTTGGTTGTGTGGACTGTGTATGCATTCTTATGGGGCCGACTTTATCTGGCTCTTAGTGGTGTTGAGGATTCTGTTGCAAACGACAGTGAAACCAATAAAGCACTTGGTGCCATCTTGAACCAACAATTCATCATCCAACTTGGTTTATTCACAGCCCTTCCGATGATTGTGGAGAATTCTCTTGAGCATGGATTTCTTCAAGCTATTTGGGATTTCCTGACTATGTTGCTCCAGCTTTCATCAGTTTTCTACACATTCTCCATGGGAACTCGCACTCACTTCTTTGGCCGGACTATCCTTCATGGTGGTGCAAAGTATCGAGCTACTGGACGTGGTTTTGTTGTGCAGCACAAGGGCTTTGCAGAAAATTATCGGCTTTATGCACGTAGCCACTTTATAAAAGCCATTGAGCTTGGATTGATTCTTATAATTTATGCATCACACAGCCCTATAGCTAAGGACACATTTGTTTACATAGCCATGAGCATCTCAAGTTGGTTCATGGTTATTTCGTGGATAATGGCCCCGTTTGTCTTCAATCCTTCTGGTTTTGATTGGTTGAAGACTGTATATGACTTTGATGAATTCATGAACTGGATTTGGTTCCGTGGTGGTGTGTTTGCAAAAGCAGAACAGAGCTGGGAAGAATGGTGGAGTGAGGAACAGGATCATCTAAAGACAACTGGTATTTGGGGAAAGATACTGGAGATAATTTTAGACCTCCGCTTCTTCTTTTTTCAGTATGCCCTAGTATACCAGCTAGGTATTGCTGCTGGAAGTACTAGTATTGCTGTTTACTTGCTTTCTTGGATCTATGTTGTTGTGGCGTTTGGGATTTATGCAGTAATATCCTATGCTCGTGACAAATATGCGGCAAAAGAACACATCTACTACCGACTGGTTCAGTTCCTTATTGTCATATTTGCGATACTTGTGATAATTGCCCTAATGGAATTTACAGAATTAAAGTTTATAGATCTTTTCACCAGTCTGTTGGCTTTTATCCCTACTGGGTGGGGCCTGATATTAATTGCCCAAGTATTCCGGCCCTTTTTGCGGCCCACAGGGGTTTGGCAGGCTGTGGTTTCTGTTGCTAGATTGTACGATATAATGTTTGGAGTGATTGTCATGACCCCTGTGGCATTTCTATCATGGATGCCTGGATTCCAGTCTATGCAGACAAGGATACTATTCAATGAAGCATTCAGCAGAGGCCTTAGGATATTCCAGATTTTTACCGGAAAACAAGCTAAGGGCGACATATAATTTGAGGTAACTTTTCGTTTAGCCTTTCTTGATTTTTCCCCCTTACCTGTGGTGTCTACTTTTTCACAAGATTAAGTGTACAAAATTTGGCTAGTCAGTGAAATTTTGCTATTGCATTATGCAGTTGAAAGAATACTTGTTTCCTTTTAAATTGAACGAGTGATGTTGAATGAATTCCATGGTCACATGGTTTTATGATGGAGTATATGTTTATATATGCATAAGTTTTACCTTTTTGACCATGATTTCTTGATGTTAGTTGGGTATGCTTAAGGCGTTGGTTCATATTAGGTATTCTGGTTCTATCTGCCTCTGCTAGCAGTATATTCTTTTTATATAGTTTTTTTTCTGAAATACATGCTTGTAACTGTTCTTGCTGTGTGGAATTATTCTAACTTGATTCAAGGTATTGTTCCTTATTAACCACAAGGTCATTATTTTCATAATTACAGTTGTAGCCTATTTTTGTTGAATTGAATGTGAATTCACACAGCACTTGCCGGAACAGTGAGTATAATTTTATTGGTTGCAATACTGAAGAGAAGGTGTATTTTATTTAGGAGATCTGTATCTTGAGAGTAGATCAATGTGGGTTTCTAGAAGTTCTTGAAGGTTAAAGCACCCAGAACAATTGGATGTGTCTTATGGGTTGAAAGATCTTTGATCTGCTTTTCTTTTTCTTTTTTGGTTGAGAATGATCTTTGGTTTATATAGAAGCAGTGGTTAGGACCATGGATTGGACATTTAAGAGGCAAAATATGAGATTTTTGATGTGGGGCAAATCTGAATAATGCGGCCTACTGAAGCTTCACACTTAGCTAAGGGTTGATATGAGTAATAACTTTATGGATTTGTTAGGTGGGAACGAAATTAGGGTTTGTGGTTTAAAATAAGTCTGACAAGGCCCAAATTTTCAGTGGCAAATAACTATAGGGCTGGTTGTTAAGCATATAGTTTTGTAACTTAAAAAGAAAAGGACAAGAAGGAGAATATGTGGACTTTCATATCTAGATTTTCTTGGCATTAGCAGGTTGCATCACACAACTCAAATATAAGAGCCGGATAGCTTTTCAATTTTCTATATTTGTTCTAAATTGGAAGCAGTATGTATAATTATATGGATTTTAGCACTCCTCATAGTAAGTGCCTAAATAGAATACTAATAACATTTTCTTTTGGAGTTAGTAAGACCAAGAAAAGTTAACAAATAAGATGTCAAAACCAACATAAGTTTATTGGAACACTGCTACAAGGTGCATTCAATTCCTGCAAGCCTGGAAATTATCAAGTTAGCTTATTTCTGAAACTTGAGAAAAACCAAAATACATAACATGAGCTAGTTTAGTAAATCTTGGAAACATGAAAATATGACTTACTAATGACTAGAGAGTATTTGAGGCTTTGCATATGGCCCAACGTCTAAGCTGGATCATAATTCTAATCCATTTGTAACTTGCCTCTGCTGTGAGTTTCTCATGGCAAACATTATTTGTATTATGTGGGCGTTGACTGGTCGAGGACTCTTGTACCGATGTGAACCTCAACAGGAGTTCTTCCTTGAAATCACAAAGGTTGACTTCATCCACCAGACGGCTTTCTATTTAGTTTTCCAGTCTTCTGCTGAACTCCTCCATTCTTGCGGATCATAGATGACCTAGTAGCATTTATCCTAGAGCATTCTTCTCAAGAAAAGACATTTGAAAGGGTGATTGAATTTCACTCTTTATAAGTCCTTACCACTCCTCAATGCCCACCAAGTGTTATTTCCAAAACCACTGCTCAATCTTCTTTTTTTGACTGATTAAAAAAGGAAACACAAGCAAAAACTTTTGAGATGCAAGAAGCAACTGAAGAGACACTAATAGTAGTGGAAGACATATAATGTGTAGAGGGATCAAGTTGCTATAATTCTAGCTTGACCCGCTTGCACGCCTGCTGTGGTGTCCTTGAGAAGTCGCAACACCCCTTTTTTTTTTTTTTTTAAATATGAGATGATCCACTACCATTTGTCTTGCATGATTTAATTGCTCTTAATTTTCCTCAGAATTCAACCGATTGGCAGTTAAAGAATTAGGGATGGGCAACAAACTCGCACATCCATGTCTACTTAACTTGTTTATTGTGATTGCTATATGTTGCCTGCTTTGATAATATGGACTATAATGTTTCAATCGATCTTGCATAGAAAGTATTACCTGCCGGGAGGTCTTGGTTTAACTCTCTTTGTTGAAATTTTCTCTTGTCATAATTGAAAAAGCTACTGTTGATTGCATAGTTGAATATTAAACCTAGTATAATTCAGCTTTTCACTGAGAAGATTGGATGATGTTTGCAGGTCTGAAAGCAGCATGAGGCGGAGTACTATATTCAACTTGAGAGTGATGGATATCTCATTTGTTGATTGTGGAGGTTCTTGTTTGTAAGGCGAAATTATGGTTGTCATATATTGAGTGGGGAGGTAGAAGACATACATTTGGTTATTTATTTCTGGCATCAACTTCCCTTGTCTGTTGTAATTAGCTATATTTCTCATATTCTTACTGTTGCCAAGCTGGGAAGTTTTGATCTTATGTATTCAATTTTCCCAGATTTTTCAGGGTACAGTTAATTGGCAATGTTCATACTAATGATAGCTTAGTGTTCAGTTTGTCAAGACTTTCTAGAATATTAAATATTTGTTATTCTTTTATTAGAAATGCAACTATGTGTTTTCTCAATACATGTATATACGTGTGGTTATCTATAACATTTATGTCAACTGGGTCATGATCAGATCAGATGGAGCCCGCCCAGTGGGTCATCTGGCAGGTTCTGGTTGAGTCAATGTCGATAAATCCAATTGGATACTCCCACTCCATCTCATGACTCACCGCTTATGCTTTGTCTCTACTCCGCAAGCCTTTTCTTTTGCCATTGCCGACAACGCCCGACATCAATGTGATTGAAGTTCCTCTCAAATACGTCATTATTCTATTAATGTACCCTTTATTTAATATGTACACTTGTTATTCATTAAATAATATCTCAAACCAACACAACGCGATTAACGGAATATTAATTTATAAATAAATATTTTATAAAACTAACATGACATGCACATCTTAAAGGATTTAATTATGATTTTTGTTTTATTTTTACATTACGACGTCCACTTTTGAACAACAGACTTGCCATACAAGTATAGTAGTTAGTCGATTCAGTTTCCGAAAGTGGAAGATGGATAAGGCTCTGCTGATAAGCGGAGAAAGCAGTAACACTAACAACATACGGCCGCCTTCTTCCTACACTCGTCGCTCCCAAGCGATCACGCGCGGCTCTCGTTACCAGAAGGCCGCGGCTCTCGTGGATCTGGTAAACTCTTCCTTCTCATTTAAGTTTACCCAAGTCACTTATGGTTTCATCAAATTATCGTCGCAAATATTGTATTTTATATTTCTTTTAACTGGAAAATGCTTGTTCTGATTGGTTGACGATGCTTTTTCTGTTACAGGCTGCAGATGGTGATGGTTTACCAGAGGAAATTCTTGATCAGTCAGAGTCGAGCTTCGAGACTTCTGCCAAGTTCTACTTCATGTTTATTAAGTTTGAATTCATTTGGTCCCTTAATTATTTTGCTTTGATAGTCTTGAATTTCTTAGAGGTTGGTTTGTTTGTCTCGGTTTTTTTTTTAATTCTGAATTTGTTAATATAGTTCTTGTTTCTCTTGTTGTCTTTATCCCACTCGTTTTTTGATTCTTGACTTGGTTGAGTTCATGCAGAAACCTTTGTGGTGCTCAAAGAGTTCTCTAACATATTCTTGCACTGATAGAGATTACTATTATCTTGGGCAGTTGCCATACTTAAGTGGTACAGAGTCACTTATTTATGAGGTAAGGTTTATGATGTTCTTGAAATAGTATTATGTCCAGTTGAATTCGAATTAAATATATGGTAAAGATGATGTTAGCTTTTGTTTGACAATTTTAATGATATGAGCAATGTGATGGAAACCAAATGGTTACTGTTTTGTTAACTTCAGAGGTCATTCAATTAGTCATTGGTGATTTTGATAGACGTATAGCAAATAGCTTGCTAAAAGTGGTGAACATTTAGGAGAAAATGAAAGGAATGTGTGAAAGTTAAGTATAATTTCTAAATCTTACTGAAAAAGAAAAAGAATCAGCAATGTGGAGTGCTAAAGTGTAATATTTCACAAGCAACTCAATCATTAATTTTGATTTTTCACTTTTGGAAAAAAAGACATTGTCAATTAAATGAAATAAATTCAAAACTTGTTGACAAATTATAAACTCATATTAGTTTGATCAAATAGAAATAATGTGTAATCTGGAACTCCTTTTCTTGGTGGTTAATACAGTTGGTTTGTTAGGTGATATGTGATTGTTATTAGTCACTCTGACTTATACTTGTTATTGTGTCTGGGGTGTGTCTGTTAGTTGTTATCATATTTTCATGGTTAAATTAAGTTTGAACTTTACGTGAGCAGCATAAAGTTTTTTGTATTATCACCCTCCTTCAATACTTGCTTATATTGGATATGCTCCATATGGAGGTGGAAGCAATTTGGTTTTACGTGACTAAGATGGACTTGGTTGAATCTGTAGATTGAGGGATTAATGGGTATTGTGATAGTAGATGACCTGTTTTTGGAGACTATGAAGATTTGTATTTTCCAGGTTTCGAATAATGCTACACATCATGCCAACCTTTGCATCTTAATTAATGCGGCATTGATTTAGAGCTGTCACATCATTTACCATATTTATCACATAATCTACATAACAATCATAAATTAAATCCAAACCCCTTGGGATTCAAAAGTTGGGATACAAACTTGGAATATTTAATATTATTCTTTATAGCGTGTTGCTAGTTGTAAGATAATTTTTATTTGAAATTCTAAACTTAATTATAAGATTTGAAGATCTTAAAAATGTTTCATCTGCAATTTTCTTACAATGATGTGTTTGCAAGTTGCATGATGACATTTTGCTTCTGCACAGGGCATAACTCTCATTGTGCTTGTGATACATACTTTCTTTCCAATTTCATTCGAAGGGTCACAGGTCTACTGGAAAAATCCTTTTACTCGGTTGAAGGTAAACCATCATTGATCTATGTTTTACTATTATTATTATTATTATTATTATTATTTTAACAGAAGAATAAGACTAGCTTTATAATTTAATTCTTTGAAGTAGTTCAATTTTTGTAATTTTTTACATAGAAGAATAAGAATGGCTTCATAATTTAATTATTTGGAGTAGTTCAATTACTTATGTAATTTTCTTCTTAATTTGGATTACGTAACCTCTTATTTGGAAATGTGCATCGATTGCTCAAACGTTAAAATGTCCTTATTAAGTCTTTGATAAGTTCTACTTCCTCTTTTCTTTTCTTTTTCTTTTTCCCTCATTCTGCAGTCTAATGATAATTTTTCTTTGTTTGCGTGGTTTAATTTTGCAGGTCATGTGCCTATTAATTTTGGTTGCTGATCTTCTGGTTTATGTTCTCTACTTGTCTCCAGTGGCATTTGACTCACTTCCTCTCAGGATTGCACCATATATCAGAGTTGCTTTTTTCACCCTAAACATTAGGTATGGTTCGGAAGGACTCACATATACTATTCTTATTGTGAATTCATTTATGTTTGTACACATATAGATAGTTATATGTGCATTTGCGCATGTGGGTTTATCTTGTATTTTAATACCGATATAGAGCTGTGCATACCATGGATAGGCACCTTCTGACCGCCTACTAAAAACTAGGTTTTGTGCAAAAAGAGGGTTCTTGTGCCTAGTCAATGCCAATGAGCATGTTGTGAATTAAATCTTGGGATAGGGAATTGCACATAGTTAACACTTATTGTGGTGAACTTGCATGGCTTAATTCTGCTTTTGCTATCAAACAATTTTAGAGCATGTGATTTACCCTTTTTTAATCTCACCTTCCTTTTGACTTCAGAGAATTACGAGATAGCATCTTCGTTTTGGCTGGAATGCTTGGCATGTACTTGAATGTCTTGGTTTGTTTACCATCTTAACATTGTTCTTCAATCTATATAGTGTTTGCAATTGCAATTGTCTCCCAAGTTACCAAATGTTACTGTTTTTAGTGTTTATGGTTAATGGGATAATATGCCTCCACTTTTCATATTCTAAAACTACAGGCACTTGGGCTTTTGTTCCTGCTGATCGCCAGTTGGGTAGCGTATGTCATGTTTGAAGACACGCAACAGGGTAAAACAGTATTTACTTCGTATGGTACCACATTGTATAAGATGTTAATTTTATTCACCACTTCCAACAACCCGGATGTCTGGATACCTGCGTACAAGTAAGTAGGAAATTGAAAAGGAACTTAGTTTTATTAGAGCTAAAATTTTAAGTTTCATGGTGCTAAATCAAATAGTGTATTTAGATACAATTTCATGCTGCTAAATTATACACCTCTCAAATGTATATACTTATGCTTCTTTGATTCATGAGCTATTCACGTGCATTGTTGTCACACTTTTTTTATTTTTTTTTATTTTTAAATGATAAACTTTTGTATCTTTTAGCATGTTGTGATTACTCTTTTAACATTTTAATGTTCTTTCTCTACACTTTTGTTAAGTGAAGATCACAGTATAGCTGATGGTGTCTTATGTTAGAATCTTAAGTTTTCATCAATGGCTTTTAGAGCAATTATCATTGTTATTTACAGAATTGTCTCTGATTTTCAGTTCTTTTGTTGCTTCTGAGTTCTAATTGTGCATTAACTAAAAAAAAAAAGTACAGATCTTATGGATTTGTAAAATCACAAGACAGAGAAGTGAGTACAATTCACTTCTAGAGTAACAGAATACAATTTTCAGAACTTTAAAGTAGTTACAGAGACCTTTGAGGTTGAATCATAAATAGATGATACAAAAGACAAATTCCTGAAGTTCCACCATAACGTATAAAAAACAAGAGATGTAGGATAACCCCCAAATGAAGGTCACCAACTTGATCCTTGCTGTTGTATATGATAGCTTCAAAGGTCAGGTATTGGTTTTTTTTAATCTCTTTAACATTAACCATATGACTGAAGACTTTAAAAATACTGTAATTACTATGCCAAGTAGCACTGGTGCAACTATTCTACATGGGGTAGTATATATATCCCTCCATCTAGAATTATTTTCCAACTTTTATTTTATTTTGTCCCGAAATGATTGTCCACCATTAAAAGCAAACTATTCTTTTTGTTGGATTTTCAAAATTGCCTTTACTGTTTTCCTTTGAAATACTTCTGCAAGCTTTCTGCATAAGAGTAGTTTAAAATGCAATATATTCTAAGGTGTGTGTGAATGTTGTCCTAAAAACTTAATTTGATAGGAATAGTCCCAAAGATAATATTAAACTCTCTTGTCCTTTTAAATGTATGGCGAAATCTGGTTAATAATTTGCAGCATAAATTCAAACATAGACCCATTTTGCATCTTGTTATAAATAGAATGCATGGATTCAAGCACAAGTCATTTTAGTCAACTTGGTTCTAATACCACATTGAACAATGTGAATTCCGAAAGCTTAAGTTAATAGAAAAGGACCCAACAAGTGTATTAAAATCTAGCAAATGTAATAATGAGGTGTTTCGAAAATTTAGAATTGCTAGGATGGACAAATAGTTTGGGATATATGGAGTATCTCCCTAAATTTTTTATAAGATTTTTCTTGGATTTTAGGAACCGAACAAATGCATATGCTTACTATCTTTTGCTCATATTGATTTTTGTTGTAGCTTGCAAAGCAAGTTTCTGATATGGATCGCATGAGGAAAAGTATATTGGGAAAGGCCTTTAATCTTATTGATAAAGATGTAAGTATTAACTATCTAATTAAGTAATTCTCTTAGCATACTTTGCATACTTTGGAACAAGCTTTATTCGCAATCATTTTTTTTTTTTTTTTTTTTTTGTACATAACAAACAGAGGCTACATATCGGTTCATTATTATCATGCAAATATTCTTCACTCTAGATGGTGGTCTTGAGAAATCATCATTGCTTAGAATTTAACAGTGGAGATGTTTCTTGATTTAGCTGATTAGTTGAAGCAGTAATGTACCAATTATTTGGTTTGTTCTAGAAAAAGAAAAAAAGTAAAGCAGGAATGATGTTGCTCATGGAGTGCTTTGGCACTCCATTTATTTGAGGTAAACACTAATCAGAAGATCATTAATACTGATAGAAAGCTAAATTATTACTGGCAAATAGTCTGTTGCCTGCTTATAATATCACAGTTGAGTTTAGGGGTAGAACCAATTGTCAATTTTCAAATTTCTGAGTTAGTTAAAATAGATTGGGAGAGTTTGATTTTGAAAAGCCTATGAGTTGAAAAAAGAAAAGTGGCTCTTCATGTCAGATTGTTTGACAAGAATTGTAATGTGACTGATCAAGTTGTCCAGGTTGAAGAAGAAAGACCCAAGTGATCGAAACAGTACTATGTTATTACTGTTTATTGAATGGATATATTGATGGGATCAAGATGGGGTCAAGATATGAAGTTATGATGTATAGTAATGGCTATCTATCTCCAGCCAGAGTTTCATTATCTCAGTGTTGACATTGAGCATTTTCTTCTGTTTTTGTTTTGTAATTGCAGCGGACATTGTAATTTAACTTTTTCAGAGGTTTTGTGAAGCTCATCTGATTACTTAGCTTTACCTAATGATCTGTGTTATGTGAAACAGTTTGCCTGGATTAGTCATTTTTAGTTTTATAGATAAGATTACCACCACAACCGTTGTTACATTTAGTGATACTGTGTATTTTTTCTGTATCTAAATGTAGTTACAATGGTTTTGTTTGATGCTTTGCTCTATCATCTATCCTGTCACGTGTTATGTAAGGTCCTTTTCTCTATGTTGAACAGAATGTCGGATCCCTCGACAAAGAGCAATGTATACAACTGTTTCAAGAACTTAACAAATATAGGTATTACTTGTACCACCTTTTCCAATGTGCTTTAAAGCGATTACGCCTATGCATCTTGCACATCAATTTCTTCTAATAATACATTTCTTTTTCTATTTGAAAAGATTTCATTCAAATTTCCTTTGTGTAATAATTTTGGAGAGGCTAATTTGTTGGGTTGATACCAATGAATTACATTTCATTGTTTATTGAATATCATTTTGGATTTGGTGGAGGAAAAGTTGTGTTCTTTTGAGATGCTCTATTTTGGTGGTTGTTTGGGTGTTATGGATAGAGCAGAGTAAAAGAATATTTGAGGAAGGTAAGGATGGGAGCTTGGAGTTGCTTTGGGAAAGAGTTTGTGCTCTTGCTTCTTTGAGTAGGTTTGAAGGTTTTTTCTTCTTTATTCAAAGGGATTGGGCGGCAGTTTTGTCTTAATTTTCAAAAAAATTTGTGCTCTTTGAATTTACCAAGCAATTTGAAGGGATTTCATTTTTTATTTATTCAAAAGGATTGGGTAGTTGTTGTGACTTAATTTTCAAAAAAAATTCTGCTGTTTGAGGGAATTTTTATTGTGAAGTTGATGAATTCATTTACATTTTTTCTTTTTATCATGAACTTCTGGTTCACCCCTTTCTGCAGTATCTTATTTAAATAAAAAAAATTCAGATCTTATGAAAAAAAAAGTGGGCTTCCATTATCTCAGCTCTTGTAATTAATTTGTTCTAATAATTGTGCCATTAACTTTGCTCTTGTGAATATTAAATCTTGCCTTTGTTCATATTTTGTAGGACTTTGCCAAAAATATCAAGAGAAGAATTTGAGTTAATATTTTATGAGCTGGATGACACCCATGATTTCAAGGTATATAGTTCCTCTATTCTTGGTCTAAGACTGTGCATCTTTTTTTACTTGCATATTGGATACAACTTCTGCCACCCATATCATGAATTCAGAAATTTCTAGCTTTTTTTTTTCGGTGGTTCTTTGAATGTGTATCCTGTTGTTTCATTTTCTGATCACATAATTGTGTAGTTGTAATATCAACTGGCCATCTATGGGATAGCAATTACATTTATATTATTGTTTATTGATTGTGAGTCCTATTTAATCTGTTTACTGAACTTGATCTTTTTTGTTTGCAGATCAATTTGGATGAATTCTATGACCTTTGCAATGCCATTGCTCTAAGATTCCTAAAAGAGGATGCAGTGAGTCCAAACTCAAATCTTGTTCATGTTTTGAATGACAAATAATTTTTAGAATTGATATAAGATACTTTGCGTCTGGTTGCAGCCATCTTGTTTTGAAAGATTTCCGTTAGTTTACCGTTCACCATTTTCCGAAAAGTTGAAAGCTTTTGTACGAAGCCCCAAATTTGGATACATAATAACCTTCATTCTCGTAGTGAATCTAGCTGCCGTTATTGTTGAAACAATGGTATGCCCTGAACATGCAGAATGATTCAAACTTTTTATTTTACAAGTTTAGTTCTATTATACTTTCCTTTTCTGATACATTTCGTTGGTATGTTGCTTAATGCAAGCATTTGCTTATCAATGCTGTGAGTTGCACAGTTGATATTCATATTGAACTTCATGAACCGTGGTATAAATTTAGCTGCTGTATGTTTTGTATAGACAAAGTTAAAGAGGTGATAATTGTTTATTGATGACGAGTGGATTTTAGTTACTAATCAGCACACCATTTTTTACAACTACACAGCTAGGAAAGGTTAGCCTCTTTGGAGAGTAGAAAACAAATTAAGATACAGGGTATGCAAAGAGTATCTATCAAGCACGAAAATCTAATGAGTAAACTATGTATTTTGGAGGAGTATTATCCTTTTCACCCAGGGCTAAATAAATTTGCTGATGGAGTAACCTCCTTCATACTGCAGCCTATCTGGTCATCTTTTCTACTTTCTCCAGCTTTTGAATGTCCTGCTGTGGCTTTCTCTGGATGTCTTCCAAGAGCCAAGTCTGTAAATAAGATTGCAGTTATCTAGTTATACATATAATTTTAGAGATTATTATATCTTTGTTAGCTGATCTAGGAGAAGGTATTAGTTGCACCTCCACATCCAGAATAACGTCAAAGTACTGTAAATTTGATAAGAATTTGCTATAGGTGCTTTTTTTTTTTTTTTTTTGCTGCTGTTATTGAGTTTACAACTGATGCCTCAGTCATGTGACCTCATACCTTAATTCCAATTTCTGCTTTTTCTGATGACTTAAAGAACACAGTTAAATTTAAGCCGGCTACATCAAAGAGCTGGAAAAACTCAATTAAAATATAAAAATAAAAACCCTGGAACTAGCGTGAGACCTTTTTGAGCTTACTCTTTGCTTTAAAGACAATTCGTCGTGCTGATCTCTGGAGAAAACCCCAAAACTTAGGTAAAAGTAGCTCATGCGTTTATTTTTCCTTCAAGGTTTTCAAATCAAATAACAAAACATTGCATATTTGGTGCAATCTTTGTTGAAACACATGTATGTGCTAGATTGTTTTCTCATGCACTTTCTTGATCAGACTTTTCTCTTCTAATCATTTGTTTTCCTTGAATACTTTATTGCCTGACTGCTGTTTGCCATAATATTCAGTTGTGTTTTATAGACTACCTTGCCACCTCACGATTTCGTATCTCTAGTTGGGAAAACTTGGTATCTTGGTGGCTCTGTTTGAAAGTCTAAATTTAATCTTGCTTATGTCGCATGTAATTTGATGAGTAATGTTTTGCAGCTTGATATAGAAAACAGTTCTGGACAGAAGGTGTGGCAAGAGGTGGAATTTGTCTTTGGTAAGTTGATCGCCGAGGCATTATTTTTAACAATTCATAGATTCTGTCATGTGTACATGTGAATGGGTGCTCACTAGCAACTTGAGGATATATAAAGATGCCTTTTCTTGAGCAATTAAGTCTATGCAATTTTAGAATTTCTAAGCATCTAAGGAAACATACAATTTAGCTATACATAGGGTTTTCCATGAAAGTGTTTATAGTGCCAGATTCTGCAGCAACTGAATGGGTGTAGGATGAATGTGACATCCCTTTGGATAACCATGTGAATTTGTATTTCTATATTACGCTTGAGACGCCCATTAAGTGGTGCATTATATGTTGTCACACTTGAGACTTTGCCACTGTCTTTGGAGCTCATGGATTGCCTATTGTTCAACAGGGTGGATATATGTACTGGAAATGGCTCTGAAAGTTTATTCATTTGGATTTGAGAATTATTGGAGGGATGGTCAAAATCGCTTTGATTTTCTGATAACATGGATAATAGGTAACTACACTGGACAATCATATCCCTGCTATCTATGCTATATTTACTTTAAATGTAATTGAATAACTGGACACGGTTTCTTTTTTATATTACTGATGATATTTGTTGATAATTGCACTGCTACCAATTTAATATTTCTTTGTCATATATTGTCTTCTAAAATTCTTAATGCTGAAAGTAGTAATTTGTCGAATTTCTGAACTTCTCTATATCGTTAGTGTCATTTCTTATTTTAAAGAGTGGAGTGTCTGAAAGAGGTCATAATTGCAAATCCAAGCTGTCAATTTTCTTCCACCAACTCTTGCAGATATTAACTCTTCGCAGATGTTGTCAATAACCTAAAGAGTTGCATACTCTGAAACAAATCATCAAGATACCTACCTGAGGAATATTCTAACACATATTGACGTTACTTTTATTAAGTTGGAGTCTGGTACATATATTACAATAAGATGAATGGAGTAACCGTTACATTAGAAATGGAGAATGTTCATGCCATTAAGGTGTTTAAGGTGCTCAGAATGTAGAATTTCACATAACCATTGTGTGATATCCTTATTTTTGTTAATAAAGTTTGCATTGTTAATAATCTTTTGATGTATTGGAGAACATTCATTATGCTTGAAATTACTTAATATTTTGTGTTTGTTTACTTGAGATGCATTACAACAATATATATACTCAATAAAGAATTGTATTATGTTAATATCAAAGAAATGAGATATGAGGAACTCACACGATGGATATTCTAGTTCTATTTGGGAAGAAAATTTATATTTCTGATTCTCGTCTGATCTTATTTTGTTCTTATGAGTGCCTTTTTTTTTTTTTTTTAAACAAACCGTCACTTTGTATTTCCGACATACTTTAGAAGACAATTTAGTTGAAACTGTGTCGACCAATACAAATTTCATTTAAAAACAACCATTATTGTAGTTTCATGATTATACTCAAATGTAAATGCATTAAACATACTTTCATTGAAAAATCAGGATTTTATAGAAAACTGAAACTACATCAGCTTTTTATGCATGTAGAATGATCTTTACAAATTTTCATGCTGTGACTTGCTGGGTCTTGCTACAGAAGTTATGAAAAGAATAAACCATGTACATTCTAGTTTGTGTCTTGAGATCTCATTATATTGCTTTAACATACAATTATTATGTGTTTGCAGTTATCGGCGAAACCATAACTTTTGTGTCCCCTAATAGCCTTACCTTTCTTTCGAACGGAGAATGGTAAGAGCAGACCCATTTCAAATAGGTTCATAGTGTAAATTGCATTTATTTTTTGGCATTATGATGTTCCTCATTTTTATTCAAATAAATGTTCCAAGCATTAGGGTGCTTCAAGAAACCTCTTTCCTTTCTTTAACCATTCAAGGATACCCAAATCTGAAATAGTTTGTGATTTGAAATAACTACAATATTCTTACTGTGATCTACTTTAATATACTAATTAACTAATATTGGTTATTTTCTAACGAAGTTTATTTTATCAGGGTAAACTTCTTGCATGCGACTAGATTATGTTTCTTCTCATTTCCACGAAGTCTCAGTTTGATACTTATCTCCATTTGTTTCCCCAACTTTTTTCTAACAGGATCCGCTACCTTCTTCTCGCAAGAATGCTAAGATTGATCAGGATCCTAATGCATGTCCAACGTTACCGAGCTTTTCTTGCCACATTCTTAACCCTTATACCAAGTTTAATGCCTTATCTTGGGATCATATTTTGTGTCTTATGTATCTATTGCTCTCTTGGTGTACAGGTATACTCTGTTTAGATATAGAGGATGCTCTTATTGCTTGTATTACTGGTCTTCAAAATACTTTTCGGTATAAAGGAAAATTTAAGTACATGAGATCATCTTGGCATATTTCTACCTCATTTTTTTTCACTTTGGATTTAAAAAAAAAAAAAAAAAAAAAAACCTGTAGAAATGTGGCTAAAGTTTTCTTGGGGAAATTATCATCCACCATCTTTGGTTTTTCCTTCCATTATAATTTGAGAGGAAAACCTTAAAATACTTAAAAATATAGTTATCTAATTATTTTGCATGTCTTATATGATATCGAGCTAGAATTCCTATCAAACAAAAATAAAAGACATATTGGCTAAGATCAGTGCACCATATTTTTTTTTACTTGAATTTTTAGACCTTTTAGGTAAATATAGTTTGGATGATTGGGAATGTATTTAGCATATTTTATTTCTGAAGTACATTAATGATGCATGCTAGATTTAATCTGAACCATCTAGATTTATTTGATCCAATGATTTAAAATAGTGTAAGTTCTTTTGGTAAAAAAAAAAAGAAAGTGTCATAGATTGTATGTTTTAGTACAATATTATTTGGATGTTATGAAATAGTTAATTATTTTTCTATCACCTCTAGTTTTCTGTTGGTGGTTTTTTTTTTTTTTTTTAATTCTGTTTACTGTATTATGCAAATGATATATCTTTGAGATTTGACATCTCAGTATTATTTTTGTCATTTTTTGGACTTCTGCTCATGTATAACTGTTAAAATTTTTATACATCATACATTGATTTTATTTGATAGATCTTTGGCGGGATTGTCAATGTGGGGAACACAAAGGTGGAAGAGACTGATCTTGCAGATGATGAGTATCCTTATTAGTTGATGGATATCTTAGATCTATTATATTTTCTACTTCTTACATCAACTGGTGGTTTCTTCTTACGCATCACCCAAAGTACATGTACAGAATCCTGAGACATTGATAAGCAGCTAACAGTTATTAAAATCTAGCCTTCTGTTTTTTAAGTTATTGCCCTTTTGTTCTATTATTTTTCCTAAAAGGCTGCGATTTGAGTTCCTTAAATCACTTTTTCTTGAAAATTTCAGCTATTTACTTTTTAATTTTAATGACTATCCAAATGGAATGGTGACTCTTTTCAATTTGCTGGTTATGAATAATTGGCAAGATTGGATGCAGGTAAGACTTCTGTGTCACAATTTCTTTATATTGTATGTTTCTCACATCTGGTAATATGATGTAGTGCATGATGAGGTGAATACTAGTCATTTTCATTCTTTCTTGTTTTTTATTGAAATGGTAGATTTCTAGATTAAGAATAAAGTCCCTGTTTATTATACATTTTCACTATTTTTGGCTATGGGACTTTCTCTTTTGCTACCTCCATAACATCTGAAGATTTGTATTTATTCCTTAAATAGAGCGAGTATTTTGCCATTCTGGGAACTCTTAAAACCTAAACTAAAATCTTTTTTGTTTAATAGGGAACTGCAAAGATTATATTGAAAGAAAAAAAGGGGTACTTAAAACTTAACCCAATCTAATGGATGGCAATTTAGGGAACTAATTTCTCAATGCTGCCACTTAGACTTCCTCTCAAGTAGAGGATCTTTTGCGTAGAAGGCCTGCTTATTTAGGTTTAGATGCCTTTTCCAGGCTGGTGACTTCCAGCCATTGTTAGGATATTATGTGACTGCAAAATATGTCACTTGGGTTCGCACACAAGGTATAGTTACAGTAATTGACAGCCAGGCTGATATTGATAAAATACAGAGAGACATCATCAGATCTGATTGGAGAACCCATTCATTTAATATTGACCCACATGGTACATTCAAAAGATTTCAGACTTTGTTGGATGTCCTTCCACGGAACATTGAAGTCATTTTCACCTATTTTTACTTTATTCAGTGCTCAAAATTGATGCTTATGATTGAGGGCATTAATTATTTCTGGTTTACCATTTCAGAGCTACAAAGAATTGACAGGAACCTCTTGGACCCTTGTATATTTTATCAGCTTCTACCTGATAAATGTTGTATTACTCTTGAATTTGGTAAGTTCTGTTTAATGCTTTTCTACTATTGATTGTGTTTTATCTGTTGCAAAAACACTATCGCTTCAGAGATGCAAATGCCTTCTTCAGAGAGTGTTTAAGATTAAATTTTGTTTTTGGATGTTTGGGACAATGTAATAGTGGAAGTTGTTCTAAACTGTAAAGCACGAGCGAAGGATTAAGGCTTGTAAAAGAATTATTCTCATTTTTGTTTCCTATTTTAATCTCAGATTGTAGCGTTTATCTTGGAGGCATTCTTTGCTGAATTGGAATGCGAAGAAGATGACAAGGTTGGTATATCTTGTGAAATCTTTTTAGGAAATAACAGTAGAATGTTTTGATGCAAAGCCTATTTATGAAAGAACTTGTGATGCTAGTCTGTGTGTCATTTACATCTCTCACTTATTGAACATCATGCTTGTCAAATCATCAAATGTTTTACATTTCTCGCCTATTGATATTCAATGCTCTATTCTAATGAGAATGGTCATCTTCTACATTTTGATCTAGGATGGAAGAAGCAAGGAAAGACGCCGATATGTTGTTGGGTACGTATTGCTGCCTATTGGCTAATTATCACTTATTTCCGTATGCTAAGACTACATATTGTTTGGTTTGGTACAGTGCCAAAACTCGAAGTCAGAGAGTTGATAGGCTTCTCCATCACATGCTGAGTGCAGAGCTAAATGATTCTGGCGATACGTAGTTTGATTTCATTTCACATTCTGGTGTGTGATAATTAAAATAAATCTTACTGCTTCTTTTCGAAGTTCAGTTTTCATTGTCGCAAGTTTGTGTTATTTACATTGTCTTTTGGTTTTTTTTTGTTTTTTCCAATTTTGTTGCCTACAATTATTGCACGCATCAGTCCCCAGTCCAATTATATGGTATAGCTACATAGAGAACAGTGGATACTAGTTCAAATTTAATGGTAAAGATTGTCATTTGTTGCTAAATTGCTCATTGCTTATTTGGTAAAATGAAACCAAATCCTTTAATGAGATGTGGAATTCCCTGTTTGAAAATTCAAGTGTTGAGGACATTGGATGCAAATTTTATAGATTTGTACAATTAGACTGAAACATGTGCTGCTGTTTATTCACAACAAGCATTTGACTGAAATAACGACAGAATTTAAATGAACTCTCTTTCATTTTGATTCTGCATTCTCATTTGTTGCATATTAAACTGTGTTTTTTCTTTTCTTTCTTTTTTTAAATAGGATTTGTGCTGTTGAACTCGAAATATATGAAGTATCTAGAACAATTGGGCTCCTTGCTTTCGGAGGTCTAGCTGGCCCATGGAATAAAAGATGGTTTGAACCCATTTGATTCCATAGGAGGTGGAGTAGGGCAATGGAGTGATTTTTCTGGTGAGTTTGTGTTGGTACGATGAGAATCATTTGATGGTTGTTTGATGAACGACATGGAATCTCGTACCCCTCACTTGGTTGCTTTAGTTTCTCTGCTTATCTTTTTCGGTTTGCTTTCCCATAAACAATCAACAAGAACAATAATAGATATTTTACTTCTTGTGATGCATTGCGGACGTTTTTTGAACGGGCAACTAAATAAATATGTAATTTTATTATAACTTTTTGTTTGTAGATGCTTGGTGAGATATGTTTTTGATAGAATTTGAGGTGAGTTTGATTTCTTACCCAATAAAGTTTTGTTGAATGGAATGTATTCTCTCTTATAAATCAATAAGATTTTGTTGAATTGGAGTATTATCCTCTCTTATAAATTGATAGACTTGAGCGTGCCTATCAGTGTAGGATTCTAACACTCCCCTTCACAGTCCAATTCATATGTTGGATTATGCATGTTGATGAATTAATGTTGGCTTAATTTTTTACTCGATGGTCAAACATCATTTAACTAAGTGAGGTGTATTTCTGAGGTCATGATGAAATTTGAGGTAGCTCTGACTCTTCATTCAATAATCCATCTCACATTCTATCAGTTTGTTTGTAGATTTATTTGTTATGTATAGCCTTAAAATTTGATTCGTGATGTGAAATTTGGCTAAACTTTATAAACCTTAGAACAATTCAGGGTTCATTTTAACTTTTTTTAAATTTCTAATTACCGAACTGTAAATTTCTAATCACCTAAATATTTTTGTAGCTAAAAAAAAAAAATTATTATAATCATATATGCTGATTTATGTTTAACCCTGTGAAACATAAATTCTTGATTAACTGTAGATAAACATGCTGATGATTGACGCTGTAAATAATGCAAATTAAAAATTGAAATTGTTGGATACAGATGTAAGCTGAGGGCGACACATATGTTAAACCACCTTCCAGTCCCCTTTCCCCAACAAGATATGCCCATATTTTCAACACAAACAAAAAGGGTTGAAAATGTTTTAGGTCTTGTTTGTTTCTATCTCTTTTCCCACCAAGTTTTCCACATTTTATTTTATTGCAGTCCCACTTCATCCCTCCACATGTTTTCCTGAGAAAGATTGAAGCCGTTGTGTCATAATTTTATTAACATTTCCAGTTTAAATTTTGAAGCAACGGGGGAATTTATTTAAAAAGTAAAAAATAATATTATACATATAATATTTTTTATACAATATTATGTGACAAGTTATCATTGGTTAATTTAAAGTTAAAATTAAATTTTTATCTAATCATATTTTATTACATAATATTGTATAAAAATGATGTAGGTGTAATATTATTAAAAAATAAAAGTTTGAACTTAGTGTTATATAATATAGTCTTAAAAATTCATAGTCGATAGTTTTAGAGTGTGGGGTCTACTAAGAAAATTGGCGGGGTTGGAACATAATTAGGGGTAATAAATTTATGTTTTTGAAGGGTATCCAATGACTCACATAGGAACGCCTTTTGACAATTTATATTTAAAATGTCAATTAAATATAACTCAGCAATTTGCCATGTGACGAAATTTTATTGTGGGGCTCAAGAACTAGTCTTCAATTTAAGAAAGAAGAAAAAAGAAAAAACTAAATAGTAAGCATACTAATTCAGAGCCTTTTACTCACTTTGCTTCATAGTTTGCAAGTTTAATCTCTACAAGAAAACAGCAAAATCTTTAAATAATGAAACCATCTCTTCTTCAAACGACCTCTTCATGATTTGTCATCTTATTTGCTGTAACTGATATATAATATAACCACATGTCAGCTGATGGGATGAATGGCCATTTCTACATAAATATATATATGAAGAGATTGGAATCTACTTTTGAAGTAAAATATGGAAGAAATAGTTGAATGTAATTTGGTTGTTTATAGATAATGGAAGTAGAACATTTTATAGGCACCCTCTATCCATCTACGACTTTCTTTGCTGTATAATTAAGTATACCAAGAAAGAATCAATGCCACCACGACCCAGAGAGGGATTTACATGCTCTTCAATTGCATTTCTCTTATTAACTAAAAGAAAGAGTAGCAACTTGCAATCCCCCCTCATCAGGTTTTGTCGAATAACAATTTTATCAAATATTTACGAAATATACAAAAAGCATCCAAAGAATTTGTTATATTACTTAGGATTTTATATAGTCAAGGATGAAAGGTATAATTCCATCCTCTTGTAATTTGTATAAACTATTTTTCAAAGGAAATTTGAAAAAAAAAAAAAAAAAAGTTTTAAACCTCTTATACCATCTTTCACATTTACAAACATGAAACGCCATTAACAGATTACACTAATCTGTGTATCAATATCATTATTGTTGAATATGGTTAATTCTTCGCATATTATTGATATATAGATTAACCAGGGGACGATTCTGTCTGTGTTTCCAAATCTCAGGATGCGTTAAATATGTCTGAAACCTCAGGGGAGATTTCGTAATATTACTCGTAGCAATCCCCACTTGGCCCTACCATATCCTCTCCTCCGTCCTTATTTAAAGTCTCACCATCATCAAAAAACACAAAGATATAGATTGAGAGAGATGAAGAACATGAAAGGAGAAGTGGTGCTGAATCTCCCAGCTGAAACAGCATGGGAGATGTTTAGAAACAATCAAATCATAAGCAAAATCAACCCTGAAATGCTTGCTCATGCTGAATATATACAAGGAGATGGCAGCCCCGGAAGCCTTAGGCTTTTCAAGCTTGGCCCTGGTATGGTATCTCTGCCCCTCTCTGTGTTTTAATTTTTCATTTAAACATGAATGCATGAAACTATGAATTTCAACACACCATATTAAATTTTGTAAATATTTGCAGCTGTGCAGAGCTATGTGAAAGAATCAACCCAGAAAATAGAGAAGGTGGAGAGTGGAAAATCAGTGACATATCTTGTAGTAGAAGGGGACTTAAAGAGTATGTATGATCCTTACAGAGTGACTTTCTCGTTCATTCCATTGACAGGGAAGGAAAAGGAGATGTGTAAAGCTGAATGGGAAGTTGAATTTGAGCCACTGACACCAGCAACACCTCCACCAGACAAGGCTAGGGACGCTGCCCTTGGATTTCTCAAGTCCTTCGACAAGTTTCAGCTAAGCTACTAATTAACCTCTGCATCAATGGTGTGTAAAATATTAAATTAAGCAGTGAGTGTGTGCATGTTTGTATCAACGTGTCGCCATAAAATTAAAACCGTACTCTCTCTCCATCAATATGTATCCTAATATTGTAATGATATATGCTACGGTACGTGTGCTCATTATTAGAGTTTCTCTTGTTTGTGTTGATGTTTTGATAAGCTTGGAGTTTATTAGTTTCGGAAAACAAATTAAAACTATGGTATGTGTATCCGTTACACGTGTATGAACCGCTATATATTTTTTCGAGAGTCAGACTCACTCATATAGTGGATGTTTTATGATATGGTCAACGCTTTATAGAATGGAATAATAAGATTGTGTTTAACCAAATAACCATAATAGTACCTTCTTTTAAAAGCTTTGTTATGGTACCCTACAACTACATGAAATTAATATTAATGTTTTACAGATCAAAATCATCTAAGAGTACTTCCATTGAGGGATCAAAATCCCCTACAACCAAGAAACGCCCCTTCTCCTTTTAACTGAAATAAGCATGTATATCAGCAGAAACAACCATAGATAAAGTTGAAAACACAAGTTATGAAGATATATATCCGAGAGCTGGACAAGATGTCATAGCATTCACATGTATATTAACAAGAAACCCATATATTCTTATTACTAAAGTTGTCAACAAGCAACTAGTCCAGTAGAAAGCTCAACCATCCCCGCGTCATTCTACTATACGATACTAGCTACATCATCTAGCTCAAAAACTGCAAAAGATAATATAATATATATACTAGGGTGAAAGTTCCACAGGTTCAATCCATTTTGTCAAAATTGCATTAACTTAAATGTACTTGAAAGGCACAGGCTTCATGTCAGCTAAGGCATCACCTTGCAACCCCAAATATCTTCAGATCAACTGCCCACTATGCTATCAGCTTATCTATTACGGTCTAACTGATAGTCCGAAACTGTTCACAACCTGTGGACCCGTTTTTGGTGAAGTTAGTAATGAGAATATTCATCATCTGACCTACTTTGGTTTTAAAGAGGTTTGAGCCACCCTTCTCAACTTTACCACCTTCTATGACTCCGTCTTTGACCACCACAGTTCCTACCACAGCTCCCTCCATATATGCTTTACAAGCTACCAGAATATCATGAGCACGGTTGCGAAAATGATAAGCAACCAAATCCTCAAAGTGCTGCCAATAAACCCAATAGATTAGATCACAGTATTCAAAAGCCAGATAAATCATATCAGGCAGTTCTCACTCAATAACTGCAAACTCATACATGCAGGCATACGCCACCATATTTCAGTACAATAGAATAATCAAATATCATACCACTGGTTTGAACAATTCAACAATGAATAATTATGAAATTCAAACATGCCACCTATAAAAATTTGTATGTGTATGGCACAAACAATTAAAGGGCATAGATAACGCGCACACCTATGCAAATGCAGGTGCAGAGTCTTCTGTGATACATGAATCATTTATACTTACAGTTAATGAACAATAAATGTGAACAAAGGCCAAGTAAAATAATGTCAACACAACCAAATATTAAATCTCCACGAACAGAGCCTCATCTAAAACACAAAAAATTGTACTGAAAAGAACTTGACAGATCAATCCTCCATGCAAGGTAAACAGAGTAAATTTATGACACAGATTCCAGCTGACATCCTACCTTTGGTGGTCTTCTTAGTGTGTACAACATTGTCTTCAAGGATAAAATAATAAGTCGATAGTTTTAGAGTGTGGGGTCTACTAAGAAAATTGGCGGGGTTGGAACATAATTAGGGGTAATAAATTTATGTTTTTGAAGGGTATCCAATGACTCACATAGGAACGCCTTTTGACAATTTATATTTAAAATGTCAATTAAATATAACTCAGCAATTTGCCATGTGACGAAATTTTATTGTGGGGCTCAAGAACTAGTCTTCAATTTAAGAAAGAAGAAAAAAGAAAAAACTAAATAGTAAGCATACTAATTCAGAGCCTTTTACTCACTTTGCTTCATAGTTTGCAAGTTTAATCTCTACAAGAAAACAGCAAAATCTTTAAATAATGAAACCATCTCTTCTTCAAACGACCTCTTCATGATTTGTCATCTTATTTGCTGTAACTGATATATAATATAACCACATGTCAGCTGATGGGATGAATGGCCATTTCTACATAAATATATATATGAAGAGATTGGAATCTACTTTTGAAGTAAAATATGGAAGAAATAGTTGAATGTAATTTGGTTGTTTATAGATAATGGAAGTAGAACATTTTATAGGCACCCTCTATCCATCTACGACTTTCTTTGCTGTATAATTAAGTATACCAAGAAAGAATCAATGCCACCACGACCCAGAGAGGGATTTACATGCTCTTCAATTGCATTTCTCTTATTAACTAAAAGAAAGAGTAGCAACTTGCAATCCCCCCTCATCAGGTTTTGTCGAATAACAATTTTATCAAATATTTACGAAATATACAAAAAGCATCCAAAGAATTTGTTATATTACTTAGGATTTTATATAGTCAAGGATGAAAGGTATAATTCCATCCTCTTGTAATTTGTATAAACTATTTTTCAAAGGAAATTTGAAAAAAAAAAAAAAAAAAGTTTTAAACCTCTTATACCATCTTTCACATTTACAAACATGAAACGCCATTAACAGATTACACTAATCTGTGTATCAATATCATTATTGTTGAATATGGTTAATTCTTCGCATATTATTGATATATAGATTAACCAGGGGACGATTCTGTCTGTGTTTCCAAATCTCAGGATGCGTTAAATATGTCTGAAACCTCAGGGGAGATTTCGTAATATTACTCGTAGCAATCCCCACTTGGCCCTACCATATCCTCTCCTCCGTCCTTATTTAAAGTCTCACCATCATCAAAAAACACAAAGATATAGATTGAGAGAGATGAAGAACATGAAAGGAGAAGTGGTGCTGAATCTCCCAGCTGAAACAGCATGGGAGATGTTTAGAAACAATCAAATCATAAGCAAAATCAACCCTGAAATGCTTGCTCATGCTGAATATATACAAGGAGATGGCAGCCCCGGAAGCCTTAGGCTTTTCAAGCTTGGCCCTGGTATGGTCTCTCCGCCCCTCTCTGTGTTTTAATTTTTCATTTAAACATGCATGCATGAAACTATGAATTTCAACACACCGTATTAAATTTTGAAAATATTTGCAGCTGTGCAGAGCTATGTGAAAGAATCAACCCAGAAAATAGAGAAGGTGGAGAGTGGAAAATCAGTGACATATCTTGTAGTAGAAGGGGACTTAAAGAGTATGTATGATCCTTACAGAGTGACTTTCTCGTTCATTCCAATGACAGGGAAGGAAAAGGAGATGTGTAAAGCTGAATGGGAAGTTGAATTTGAGCCACTGACACCAGCAACACCTCCACCAGACAAGGCTAGGGACGCTGCCCTTGGATTTCTCAAGTCCTTCGACAAGTTTCAGCTAAGCTACTAATTAACCTCTGCATCAATGGTGTGTAAAATATTAAATTAAGCAGTGAGTGTGTGCATGTTTGTATCAACGTGTCGCCATAAAGCCGTACTCTCTCTCTCTCCATCAATATCATATGCATGTACGTGTATCCTACTATTGTATTGATATAAGCTACGGTATGTGTGCTCATTATTAGAGTTTCTCTTGTTTGTGTTGATGTTTTGATAAGCTTGGAGTTTAATAGTTTCGGAAAACAAATTAAAACTATGGTATGTGTATCCGTTACACGTGTATGAACCGCTATATATTTTTTCGAGAGTCAGACTCACTCATATAGTGGATGTTTTATGATATGGTCAACGCTTTATAGAATGGAATAATAAGATTGTGTTTAACCAAATAACCATAATAGTACCTTCTTTTAAAGCTTTGTTATGGTACCCTACAAGTACATGAAATTAATATTAATGTTTTACAGATCAAAATCATCTAAGAGTACTTCCATTGAGGGATCAAAATCCCCTACAACCAAGAAACGCCCCTTCTCCTTTTAACTGAAATAAGCATGTATATCAGCAGAAACAACCATAGATAAAGTTGAAAACACAAGTTATGAAGATATATATCCGAGAGCTGGACAAGATGTCATAGCATTCACAAGTATATTAACAAGAAACCCATATATTCTTATTACTAAAGTTGTCAACAAGCAACTAGTCCAGTAGAAAGCTCAACCATCCCCGCGTCATTCTACTATACGATACTAGCTACATCATCTAGCTCAAAAACTGCAAAAGATAATATAATATATATACTAGGGTGAAGTTCCACAGGTTCAATCCATTTTGTCAAAATTGCATTAACTTAAATGTACTTGAAAGGCACAGGCTTCATGTCAGCTAAGGCATCACCTTGCAACCCCAAATATCTTCAGATCAACTGCCCACTATGCTATCAGCTTATCTATTACGGTCTAACTGATAGTCCGAAACTGTTCACAACCTGTGGACCCGTTTTTGGTGAAGTTAGTAATGAGAATATTCATCATCTGACCTACTTTGGTTTTAAAGAGGTTTGAGCCACCCTTCTCAACTTTACCACCTTCTATGACTCCGTCTTTGACCACCACAGTACCTACCACAGCTCCCTCCATATATGCTTTACAAGCTACCAGAATATCATGAGCACGGTTGCGAAAATGATAAGCAACCAAATCCTCAAAGTGCTGCCAATAAACCCAATAGATTAGATCACAGTATTCAAAAGCCAGATAAATCATATCAGGCAGTTCTCACTCAATAACTGCAAACTCATACATGCAGGCATACGCCACCATATTTCAGTACAATAGAATAATCAAATATCATACCACTGGTTTGAACAATTCAACAATGAATAATTATGAAATTCAAACATGCCACCTATAAAAATTTGTATGTGTATGGCACAAACAATTAAAGGGCATAGATAATGCGCACACCTATGCAAATGCAGGTGCAGAGTCTTCTGTGATACATGAATCATTTATACTTACAGTTAATGAACAATAAATGTGAACAAAGGCCAAGTAAAATAATGTCAACACAACCAAATATTAAATCTCCACGAACAGAGCCTCATCTAAAACACAAAAAATTGTACTGAAAAGAACTTGACAGATCAATCCTCCATGCAAGGTAAACAGAGTAAATTTATGACAGATTCCAGCTGACATCCTACCTTTGGTGGTCTTCTTAGTGTGTACAACATTGTCTTCAAGGATAAAATAAATGCTTCCTCATTGTATGACCTCGACTTCCTTTCCCCCTCTGCTCCAACATATGATTTTTCATACCCAGGTTCATTAAAAAATGGCTGTGCATTCAGAATCAGAGCTTGTATGGAGACCAGAACCTGTAGCATGGTTGAGTTTTCTTTACTCCACATCTCGGTCGATTTACCAGTCCATGTACCCAAAAGACTAAGGCAAACTTTCCCACATTCATATAAATTTGGATTTAATCGAAGGCCACCTGAATAGTAATAAACCATCTGGAAAAAAAAGACTTCACATTTACATTGTACACTAAGGAATGTATGTTGAAAGGACAATACCAGAAGATACATACCGGTGGCTCATTTGGATAGCTAGGAGGGAATAGACAATCAAAGACAAAAAGGCCATCATGATATGGTGTACCAGAAGGTCCTACCATGACAGCCCTTAAAAGTTCCATCCTTGATTCATAAACTCTAACGAATATTGTTTCTGTCAAAGTATAACAAGGAGAAAAATAAATCAACTAAGCTATTGTATGGAGGTAAGCTCTTTTTTTTCTAAATGGAGAAGAGAGTCAAAATCAATACTATTTGTGCATTTATATGCACAACATTAATAAGAAAGATTATTTGGCCAAAAAATATTTATGGTTTCATTATGCCCTCAACTAACACAACAATCCAATTCAGACAACCTTTATCAGCAAAAGATGGCTAGATACCATAATGTTTAATAAATAAGCATATATAAACTCACCAGGTAAGTTCTTCTCCAGAATTTTCCATTCATCCTGGATTTTCTTTGCCCAATTCTTTGGTGGCTATCAAGAGAGAGAGAGCACATACCATTCGGTACATATATTAGACACACAAAGAGAAAGAAAGAGAGGCCAATATACCTTTAAATAAAGCTCACCTGCTGATCCCCCAGAAAGCCCATGCGGCTGTAGTGATGGTCAGAAAAATCACCCACCATGTCGAATAGCTTAAAATGTAATTTTTGCATACCTCCACTTTCTTTAATTTCTTCCTTCTCATTAGAACTTGCCTCTTCAGGGTCTGTTGAACTGCTAGAAGAAGCTAGCTTGCTTTTGTTTTCATCAAGAACAGAAATAGTTGTCTTCCTTTTGGTTTCAGTCGAGTCAAGAATAGTTGACTTCCTCTTGCTCTCGGAAAGGTCTGGAACAGATGAAATAGTAGTGACAGATGGCGTTATAAGTTGACGTGGAGCAAGGTCTTTCAACCAAGGAAGTGAGGCCTCTACGCCAGGAGGAAGATCCACATTATCAAATTGGGATTGCATGGTTATATAATCATCTTCATCTTCATATAAGAAATTATCATTGTCATCATAATCAGAACCGTCATCACCACAATCATCACAGTCATCATCATTATCATGATAAGACAGCTCAGAATTAGAACTATTGAGATTGTTTGAAATGATTGATCCTGAAGTGGAAGTCTTCCCAGGATCACTGGCTGATGCATCCTGGAGAAAGAACAAGTACCAGATCAAACAACTGTTGACATTGAGCAAAAGGAATCTATTATAAGATAGCATAGAATTATTTATGAACTCTAGCTACATACCTTATCTTGGTATTGCCATTTCTCATCATAACATATTTTTGCCTTTCCCTTGCTATCCATCTCAACTTTCCCATCACCAATCAAACCTTCAGGTGAATCTTCATCTATTCCGAAATCCACATCACACATATCAACCTAAACAAATATATTGATTTCTTATCACCCAATAACATATACAAACATTAAAACTGAGAGCACAATCCCAGTGAATTAAGATAAACAATGAGACTTGCAGTAAACTAGAAACTTACACCACCATATTGGTAAAACTTAATATGAATTGATAATAAAATACAAATGCTAACACAAGCAAAGGTAATAACAAATAAAAACCACACTTGGCCGGTTTTTTATCATGACACTGTAAAAAGATACCAATTTCCAAATAAGAATTTGCCTCAACAAATAGGTAAATGCCAGAATTAAAAAATGTACTGTGCATGCACGTCTTTATCCAATAAAGAGTTCCAATAACGAACATCAAAACAAGGGAACAGGCCTTTTTAGTTGGCTAACTTTATTATTATACTACTGTTATGCACAATTTGTCATACTTTTTCCTAGTGAACAATCTTCTTCTCACTCTCAGCAACCAATCAAAACACAGAAAACAAACTACCGTCAATTCGTGTGCATAACTAGGACGGGGCACAAAAAAAAAACTAGCATAGTTTGATCAAACCCATCAGAAAAATCACAACCGTTGACTTACCCCATTATCAAAATCGACCAAATTAGTTTAAACTTCATCGATCACTTCATAGTTCAGAATTACTCTCAACCCCACAATATTAACCACAAAAATCAAAACAAGGAACTAAAATATATATATAAACAAAAACGATCAAAGTTACCTCGTTTTGGTTTAGTTTCTCGGAGATCGCAGTTTGTTCAATTTCAAGATCCATGAAATTCTAACGAGACGAATTCAAAAATACACACAAACAAACAAACAAAAAATTAAGATAGAGCGTGAAAACCAAACAGTTAAGAGTGATAAAAAAGAGAATCGGAAAGATTGATCGACACCCGAATTCTGTCTCCGATTCTTCGTGACATGGAGAGTGTGAAGAGAGTGTGTGAGCAAGTTTTAATAGCGAAGGCTGAATTCGCGCCTTGTTAGGTAAGCCTCTCTCTCTCTCTCTCTCTCTCCCCGTATCGTACGCAATAAGGAAATGACTAATCTATGATCCTCTCGAAGCAGAGTTTCACTGGTGTCTACGTATTCTGAGCCGTTGGGTATTTAATTTTTGTTGATATAAGGGAAGGGAGGGTTGATTTGGATGAGGTGGAAGTGTATTAGGTTAAGGGTGTAGGAGTTTCGAGTGAGGTAGAGTGTGGAGGAGTGGTACCGAGAGGATTTGGTAGTTTCGGTTCAAGTGCATAGGATAAAGTGAAGAGCTTACTCAAGAGTCAAGACTCTGGTTTTGTTGTTTTACTAATGTAATTTCTTTTTTTCTTTTAATTCGGGTGAATAGATGATAGATCTATGGCCGTTCATCTTTTGAGATTATCAGGAGAGTAGGATAGTAGAATTAAAAAAGGGGAAAATTTGAAAGTTGGGAGATGAAATCCAAAACCTTCCAACTCAGAATTGCAATTGAGTTGAAAAAGAGAAGGATAGTGATGGATTCATACAGCACTCGGTCCATTCATAAACCCACTTGTTTTGGTTTCTTATTTATTTTCTTTCCATTGGGCTCAACCCAATCATCTAACAATTTCATTTAAAAAATAATAGCTGACTTAGCAATAGTTAGCATCCATGGCGCCAATTTTACCGCCAAATCTTCCCGCCATTCTTTCTTTCTATATAACAACGCAGAAAACCCACTCCAAAATTGCCACCACTACACCCATTGTATTTGCCATAACACTATCTCTTTCATCTGTTTGTTAAAAATTACTCACTGAAGCCAAAACAATTGAAAACTCACCCAAATCAGCTATGGTAGTACCTCTGGGGCCTGGAAAGTTCTATGGCAGCAGCCTCCCACGGCCTCGCATCTACACCGACACCAAGTTCAACTCGGAACGGGTAGATCCGCCGGTTCCCGTCATGGATCCGCTCCTCTCCTGGGCCAACGAGGCCCATTGGTCCATGGGTGGTCTCAGCTTCAAGCGCCTCCGCCTTCAAGGTCGGATCGAGGGCTCCGTCAGTAAACTCTGCAAAGAGCGCGAAAAGATTGAAAAATCACAAGCCAAATATACCTCAAATGACTCAGGTACTAATAACAAGAAAAGGGCGGCTTCAGTTTCACCTCCTCCCGCTCCAGTGGCAGTAAAGAAGAGGAGATTCTTGGCTTTGAGTGATGAAGAGGAAGAGGAAGAAGTGCACGAAGTTGTAGAGAAAAAGAAGGGGAGTTACAGGAGGAAATTAATGAAAGATTTTGATAGAGTGGCGGGGGATGAGGAGTCGGCGGGAGTGAAGACGAGGAATAAGGTGAAGAGTGAGATTAGAACTTCCCCAAGATTGGCTAAGCGTGGATCCAAATAGATTATATTTTAATCTTCTTGTTATGAGTGTAGAGTTAGTTTCTTTGTGGTATTTTTCTATTAGGATTTATGTGTGTGTTAGCCTTTGGAAATAGAAATATGGAATGAGATGTTTGACCAGGATGGGAGTTTTCAGGTTTAAATTTATATGAATGGAAAATGAGAACTGTAAATGTTGTGTTTCATTTCAGCTTCAAGTTGAGGCTCCTGAAATCATTCCACTGATAACAGAAATGAACTTGTGATCTAATGGATGTTTGTTGGAGGCTTCAGCCTGTGCCCGTACTTATATCTCCTCACAAGCTCCATTGCTCCAAATAATATTATAATTTATAACGTCTTTCTGTAATTTCTTCTTCAGACTAGCAATATAACAATCTTAGATATATAACCACATCTAAATCACTCATCTTAACTAAATAATTTGTATGTAATTGAAGAATATAGTACAGAAACACCAAGCCCTCATCCCTCCCCTGATGCATCAGATCAAACCACAAAAGAGAACCGATCCCTCTCTTCAAACAATTACAATTATGTTTTCTCATAGAGGGTATTAAACACTCACTGTCTTTGTGAACACAGTACTTTTAAGTTTACATTGTATTGTGTCAGTCCATGCACTCTGGCCAATCTGCAAGACTGTTCGGTTATTAGTTTGTAAAGGGATGGTTTTTCCCATGGAACAAACCCAAAATCATCATTATACTCTTCCATTCCTTCCACAAAGAATTGCCAGATAACAGTGCCGGCTCCAGACTTGTTTCTCTTTGCAGATTTATAGATGACATCGAAAATCGTTTTGTAAAGCTTGTCTCTCTGAGATGGTTCAAAGTCCTTGTTCAGGTTCGACAATCCAAACTCAGTGAACAAGACAGGCTTATTGAGTAGTTTGTCACCATCTTCAATGTGAGAAAGCATCCACTTGTAGACAAATTTCATATTGTCTTCAAATTTATGATCATGAAACCTGTCAAAAATAAATGGACAAACTTAATGATTAAGGGTGTGTACAGCTGCCTTGAAGCTAAATCTAAAAGACAGACCCCAAGGGAATTGAGACATTTTTTTTTCCAGCAGCGTGAATTAGAAAATAAACAATATCAAAATGCTTTTAGTATTTTAAGAATAATTTATATCTTGTAGGCCGTTTATTCATTTATTTATTTAAGTATCAGTTTCCAATGTCAGGTTTCCTTTTTTCATAGCTCAAGCAGTTTTAGACAAAATCAACTGGAAAAAAAATGCTTACCAATGATCTGCGTAGATGTGAACAGATGCAAAATCAATATTTGCCTTCTCAGAGTTGCGGATAAAATCAGATCCAAGCTCTGATGCCCACACTTCTGGGTTCACAGTTAACCGCTTGGGGTTTTTAGGACCATAGAATCCTTCAAGGCCCAGAGTCACAAGATGTCTTTTGTCAATTGATTTCACGTATGCTGACATTTCATCTATCCAGTCCTGCATTTCTATGCCACAATTAGTGCATACTCAGACACAAATGAATGTTTTAAGTTGATAGCACTCTCTCCTCTCTCTCATATGAAAAAATTGACAGTGATACAAAGAAAGTAGAACACAAAAGCTCAAGTGAGTTTCAAAAGGTGCTTATTGAAGTTCAGTTTCACCTCAAACAATTGAAAGCTTCAAATGTCTCAAGAAATCAGAAGACTATACTAACAGAAGTTGCTCAGTATAGCCAATGAAAGTTTACTGCATGGATTCAATAGAACCATACAACCTAAGAAATACTAATTGCTCCAGCATACATCGCCATCACACTGAAATTTAATGTCTAATCTTATGATAACAGAGGCAAGTACCTATTCAGGCTTTGGACAAATTATTTGGAAATTTTCAGATTTATACAAAAGTTCAATCAAAGTCAGATGTCTTAAATCTTCTATGGTTGACTACAAAAAGAAAATAAACAGCACAAACAGTTATAACATACTTGCAGAGTGTCGCCTGAAGGATCAGACATGCAACGGGGTTCATTAATCAACTCCCATCCAAAGATGGTTGGATCATTCCGATATTCAATTCCCGTTATGGTGTTCTTCCTGGTGAGCACAGCCTGGAAAAAAGGAAATAGATTGTGATGAGTAAAATCTTTTACCATTATTACATTACAGATACAATAATATATTTCAATGATTCTGCAATCAGAAATCACACAACTGGCTGGACACAGAAAAATGCAAATATTGACTTGTATTGGCAACTGATACAGTTAGAATCAGACCTTGTACACGTTCACAGAGCAGATAAAATCATTTGCATCAAGTTTCTTAATATGTGCCATGCACTAAGGGAAAGGAGAGAAACACAAAAGTAGAGATGCCCAATTTGTTTTTAGGAGCTCTAGGAATAAGGTGTTGCCTATCACAAGTTTTGATGTTCTACCCAGATGTGCACTATTCAACCCTGATCTGAAATCTTTTACACAGTATCAATCAACCTTCAACAAGAACAAACAAATACAATCAAGTACTGCCCACTTTTGTCTTGAAAAAATGAGTGAGTTAGAGGAATCAAATTTCAAATTTTATGATGACAGAAGAAATGGTGTAAATTTCTCCTATTCAAAATCAAACATTTGAAACCACAGTTCAATGTTTGTTTGCAACAAGTACTTAGTGCATGGGTTTAATTTCATTAAGGAAATAAACTAATACGAACGGACTCCCTATAGCTGCACATGTCTAAACCATGACCTAACAGACTCACAGTTGATTAACAAGCCTCCAGCAGCTATAACTTTTTGCATATCCAACAAGGACCAGTTCTCATAATTGCTTTGGTGTATACTAAAAAATTTAGGTTTGCCCTGATATTTAAGTAGCATGATGCATATAAAAGGTTTCCATTATCTTATCTTAGAGAAGAGATAAATTGGGAACACTAGATAGTTAGATACCTTGAGGTAATGCCTGAAATAGATGCGGATGGACGGATCAAAGAAGAAGGAATCATTAGAGGAGCTCAAACCAATTCCTTCTTGCCATGCCCACTTGACATACTGAGTCTTTCCACCATAGGCTTGCAAGTTATTAACTAAGCTGAGAAGAAGCCTAACTCCATGTTTTCTTGCTTCAGCAATGACATGATCCAGTGCCTGCACACAAAGAGTTGTTAAAACAAAGAACAATATGTGAAAAAAAAATGTATGATCGAGATTGGAGAATTGGGGTATTTAACCGTTCAGACATCAGCTATGGTGTGGACAACTTGAAGAATGAATGGCCTTCTAAATAACAGGCATAACAAGAACAATCTAGGAAAATCATTGAAATTCTAACTGCGCTTGTAAGCTCTTAATTAAATTACGTCAAATGAATGTCTCCAGAAGGCATGTGGCCTTTATGGTGAATTCATTTTACAAACACTGACAAATTTCTGAAATTTTTCAACTCACAGAAAGACCAACTATAAAAAAAGAAAATGAAGCAAATAAATCAAAACAGAAAAAACATTTGATCCAATTTGTTACATTAACCAAAAATTATTACAAGCACAAAATGACAGGCATAATATATCCTAAAACTCTTCAGTTCGACTGTATTAAGTATTTTAAGGTTTTGAAACAATCAGAATTTTCTTTTTGCTGTTTATTCTATCTTTCATTTCAGACTCACAACTTGATAAAGAGATATCTTTTTGATTAACTAGGAAACCAAATGCAGTTTGGCACCAACAAGTATACAAGAACACAACCTGCATTTAGGTTTCCCTGTCAAAAATGTCGTTTAAACATTTTTTGTCTACATCTTCTCTTACACAGCGCAGTCGTAAAGCTCCTAAGCCGCATTGGTTTAATGTCTGTCCTAACTCCACCAACACAAATTTCATTTCCACCAATCTACATAAGTTTCCCCAAAACCCTTAATCTTAAGTCATTCCAGTTATTACTAAAAATCAGATTTTTAACAGAAATAAAATAAGATCCCGCAATATAAATTAATTTCATAATAACACCCAAAATCCAAATCTTTCCGGGGGTAACAAATTTTCTAATGATAATATAAAACTCAGATTATTAGAAACAGAAAAAAAAAAAAAACAAAAAAAAAAAAAAAGAACAAAATATTTAGGAAGTTGTGATACCTTGAAGACTTTTTCATCGAACCGACCAGGGGAAATCTGAAGGGCATTGTAGGATCCATCATTAAAGGCCCATGTTCTACAAACTGTTAGACCCATCTTTGCCCCGGCTTCAAGCATGGCGCCAACCCTAGGTCTGCTATAATCATGTACAGCATTGTCCATTAACCAATAAGAGTTCCATCCATTAACGTATAACACTTTACCATCTGCCATAAACTGATTCCCATTCCTTGTCACAAAACCCAGCTCCGTTTCTTTCTGATAACTAACGCTCAAGTCACCAAAAGACATGTAGATGAAAGCCACACATGATGCAAATCCAAGAATCGGGTAAAGCAACCCATTTCCTGCCACCATTCTTACTATTTATAGTATAAATAAAAAAGAAACAAAGTTTCACAGACAAAAAACAATCTTGAACACCCTTTGGGCTCTATATCAACAAACTCCAGAAACCATGGATGCCCAGATAAGGTTGTGAGCACCTTACACCCAGATGTGAGCAAATATTTCTCTTTTTACAAAAATAAATATAAAAATCAGATTTTTGGGATACCCAGATCTCTCTCTTTAAGGGGTGCCTAAAAAAACACTATAGCCCCGAAATTTCCGCAATGGGCTGAAAATTATAAAGCCAGTGAAAGAAATGAGGAAATATGAAAGTGCTAAATCGAGTAATTTGGTATTGAAGGAGAGAGGGGAGGGTCAGATTATAAGAGAAGGAAAGGAAAAAGAGCAGTAAAGAACACACCTAACATGAGTTCCTTGAAAACAGTCAAAAAACCAGGAGGTGAAGATTGTGTGTGTGGTGGAATGTTGTATCACCGGTTTGGTTAATTTAGATCTGTTCAAACTCATCTCTACAGTTTTCTTGACTTTTAAAACTGCGCTTAACAAGTCTAGTCGAACACATTGGTCCCATGTGTCTTAAGTATTATGTTCGCTTTTGCTTCTTCGCCTATTATCTCTCAATCTCCCTCTTCCTTCCTACCAAATCAACAACAAAAGAAAATAATTAAATAAACGTGACCTCAGATATAGTATAATATACATGCACTGTTTGGATTCTCAGTTAATGCAGTGTTTTTTTTTTTTTTATCTCTGATGTTGAATCTATAGAATTAATGAATATAAATTGTGAGAGACAAAAGATCTCAAGGATTAGAAGAGATTAAACCTTTTGGCATGTGACTATGTGAGAGCCCTTTCCTTTATTATTTGTATAATGTTTTGCTTTCCACTTTTTGGCAATTACTTAATTGCTTTCTGCTCATACCCAATGACAATGAATCTTTGCCATGTAACAATAGTTCACCGTCTTTAACGTTACTTGAATCTTTCAGAAAATATGATATAGTATCGAAGCAAATAAGACATAGGTGACCTAATCAGTTGTTGCAATTGTTGTTAGTTCAAAATAATTGGCAGTTAACCTCTTCTCTAATTATGCTGTCACACCTGTATAATGAAGCTCATTGTGGGGCAACTTTGAAATTAACAGCTAATTTAATGTCTGTGTTAATAACTAATTCAATGTTTGCGTATATTTTATGGTAAAAAAGGGGGAGGGAATTAGAGGATAGTAGACTGTATAGATATATTGGTTTGCTTAGATTATTGAATGAAGATGAAATAATTATAGTAACATCATACAAAATGACCTAGAAAAGAAGAATCAAGTTTAAGTATGGATTTCTTGTTACAAACGCAGCAGAAAAGAAAGCAACAATCATTCACATTCTCTCAAGGAAGGAGCCCACTGGTCCGGAAGTATTAAGTAGAATAGAGATTTGAGGGTTGCCATGTCACAATCTTAGTTGAAAGAAATTATCATATTTCAAATCTTACCAACAAAAAGGCAGCTTATCATGTAGTTATTATGTGCCTACAACTACAAGGACATGTATAATGAATATTATCTTTATACGGTAAAGTTTATCAGACTTTTATAAGCTAATTAGTTCTTTTTAATAAAAAAAATATGACATAGGAGAATGGGGTATGGGGTATGGATTGAGTCTATGTGAAGGAGAAATATATGGTATGGATATAATTTTGTTGCTGCGTCTGACCAAAGGACCAAGAGAATAATAATTCTGATCCTCCATCTGTTTCTCATTATCATATCATTTATAAATGAGTGAGTTGTATATCTTAATTTTTTAAGGGTGTTATTTAGGGTAACAATGATGTGTATCTTTTGGGAATGACCTTATTATTAAAATTTTCTTTGTTTATTAATAATAAGTTGCTACCAAAAGAACAAGGCCTGCATACATCTAGAATACGACTGACCACCCTCCGTCAATCTTGAATACGCTTGTTACATTAATTCTTTCATAACAAATCCAAATGTTCAAATACAATACATGAATAGAGATATCCCATGGAAATGGTTACATGTTAAGAAAGGAAAGGAAAGGAAATGGCAGGGTGAGTGAGAGAGACACAAAAGAGTTTTATAAATAAAAACTGTAGTAGACTGTAACTGAAGCTAATTATATCAAAGGGGTTAGTCATGTGCAAGTGCATATGCATCTGAGTTGAAATTCAGTATTAATGGATTAAAGAAATGCAGTGACGTACGTACCCACTCAAGAGGATTGGGTAAACAAACTATTATTATTTTTATTAAACAATGAAGTTGAAATAGGGCATAAAATGAGAAAGAAGGACTCATGATATGCCATAATTTCTTCATCACATAGATTCTGTTAATATCTCTTTGTAATCATAATCAAATTAATTAATTATATCATATTCAGTTGCATCACCCATTGGGCCTGGACTCTTGAACAAATTGTGGAGCAAAGACAAAAGTGGCAATAAATTAAAATCTTATGCTTAATTTCTTTTATAATGGAAGATGTGGTGTTGTATTGTATCATTTTCTTTTCAATATAAATTATAAACAAACTTGATGATTTTAGTAGCTTCATTAACACAGATCTATGTTAATGAAGCTGATGATTTTCAAGTGAATGAACATTGGTAGCTTAATTTTAAGTTTTGTAGTTGGTCATATTCACTTGGTCAAATAATCATAAGACTTTCTTTCTTCTTTGTAATGATTATAGCCTTCGTTTTTTTTTTTTTTTTTAAATAATTTGAGAGTTGCGTGTGGATCCCAAGTCCAAACTCCAAAGTAGGGTATGGGGAATCGGGGATTGGAGAAACTTGCCGACAGCTTTCCAATTGTTATAAGTTTATTTTACGGTACTTAGTCATAGTCAAGTCAAGTTTTCACCTTTTGTCAAATTTACGGTTAACTCTAGTTTTCAATTATTGAAAATGAGAAACATATATTAGTACAATTTTAAATTGCAATTCAATTTTCAAATTCAACACTAAAAAGCTAATAATGCAATTTATTAATCTATAAAATCATATCTTCCCAAAAAGAACTTATTTACAATTCTATTATAATCTTGATATTGTAGTGGTTATAATAATATATGGCGAAGAAATTAATTATTGGAAAAAGAAGGGGCTTGGACAGACATGTTTTTGTTTAATTAATTAGTATTTACCAAAACACGGGGCAATCTGGCTGGGAAAGATTGAAGAACCAATTGAATCTTAACATATGCATTAATGCTTTAAAAATTAATAATAATAATCAATAAATTGTTTTCATATTAGATTTGGGTCTTATTCCTTTCTTCTCTTGTTGACCTATTGGCTTCTCTCGTTATTACGTTTATTAGATGCCTAGTTTCCATCACACGAAAATTAACATTTTCTTTTTTTCAAAAAGTAACATTTACTAAAAATCCCATAAAACTCTTGTCTAATACTCCATATTAATTAAAATACTCAATGTACCCAAAAATAATTAATTAAAGATGATGTTTTAGTTTAATCTTCTACTAATTGAGTACTTGATGGGGAAAGCAAAGGTCAAATGGTTTCACATGATGTGCCAATATTTTTATATACAATCATATCTATGTGCATTAAAGAATTAAACAAAAGTTTTTTGCCAGGAGCCACCGACACTCTCCAGGATAGCCGGCAACACCAATTTTCAGGTAGGAAACAAAAAATATTCTCATATATATAAATAACGTTAATAATATTGAACAATATAATAGTAATTTAGTAACTTCATATACACATACTGTATATTGAGATGCGTTGCATGGAGGCTTGTTGGGACTTGGGATTCATTTATACAAGGAGGGACGATGACCAATAATTTAATTTGATGTTAAGATGGTTACCTATAAAATAAAATGAAATTTCAATTAATGAATGGATTGGATTGGAATAACTCTTGATTTTGTCCTTTTAGTAGTTAACATATTGTAGCAAAACTAACAATTGGTTTATAAAGAGACTGAACTGATGTTTATATATTCAGGCTTCCATTGCATTATTGGTAGCTTAACTCCAGCTAATGACAATGACTTCTCACGGCGTTTTGTCGGCATAAACTTGTCAAACTGGAAAATGAAATAAAGGCAATATTGAAAACATGATATTTTGATTTCATGTATTGCACAAACACTTTATACTGCAAGATAACTAATACCAAACTGAAAAACCAAAATTATGTTTATATGATGAATAAACTCAAAAATGAGAAATTATAACTGTTAATAGGAAATATCTGTTTTGTCCTTACGTGTACAAGTAAATTACACTTTCTGGGTTAATGTCTATTATAATAGGGGAGCGGAACCACAATGGGGTAACTGCGATTATCTCGCTCTGTTCCTTAGAAGATGGTTGACATGCTATTTAGGAGGATGGACTGTGGGCTGGGCAGAATAAAGAACTCCATTCTGAATATGGGTTGGGCTTTAAGTATGGAAACCACAACTTTGGGCCTAATTAGGAAGCCCAGTATGTTTCAAGACATAAAAGAGGTGTCTCTTGATTGTGAAAACATATTTAGCAAGTACTTGTTAATTTCATTTTTATGCCAAACGAGGAAAGATGCTGCTTAAAGCCTTAAAACAATTTCGGTCAATCAAATTTGCTCTTTGACAAAAAGAAAGTGAATTGGTATATTAAGCAAAACCCATGGGCCATGGCCATTTAACTTTTAGGTGGAATCAGGTACTTTGCTTAACAACATAATCTATAATTCGCTATGAACAAATAAATTATATCAACTATCGTGGTATATTATATTTCAAATTTTTTTGTTAGTTGTATTCGAAATCCTATAACAACGTGCATGAACGCTAAAAATCAACATTATACAAAAGCTTTGTATTTGATTATTTGGTGGACAACATTAACCTTCTCTCAAGGAGAAACTTGGCTTTGACTTGAAGTGTCGGGAAAGGCAGAGACAATCTTCATAATGTTACCAGGCCTGTGAAAATTAGAGACCATTGGACTGCTACATAGTGAGGACCATCCATCGGTTTCAGAAATCAGAAACAAGTAAAATTAGTAACAAAATACGCCGAAAATGGAAAATTAAAGGATTATTTGTTACATAAGCTCCTTAATTATGAGCTTTACATCTGTAATCCATATTTAACAGCCTTAATCTCTTCAAATGTAGTGTAGGGTTAACTTTACCAAAACCTAATCTAACAACAAAATTTCCAGAAAACCATCTCACAAAATCCCAAAATCAACAAACAAAAACCCCCAATTTTCTTCACGCCACACCACTATCACCACAATTCCTTCTAACAAGTGCAAAGTATCCCAGAACAGCACAAACAGCAGCCACAACATTACCTTCCTTCAACAAAATCTTGAACACAAAACTAATAATTTCTCTTGTGATCTTCCTGCCTTCAATCACCAAACTGCTCCTGGGTTTCCCAAAGAAAGCAAGAAGAACCACAACAGTGATCCAAATGACCAAAGTGGCAGGCACAGCCACAGCCAGAGCTGCAGCCATTGAAATCAAACCAAAAACTGCCCCGAGAAGAACCGATGCATACAAAGCAGGCCACCCAAAAGATGAAGAAGATGGTTGAGCTTGAAGTTTATACCAAGAGAGGATGGATTTAAGTAAATTCCATGAAGAAGATAAAAGGATTGCATAGACTAGAACAAAGAGACATACCCATGTTCTCCTTTTGCTCATAATATTTATAAACAATCTGTATGATGTTGAAGTGGGTGTGGTTGGTTCTTGTTCTAGCTGTTCCATGTGGTCTGCCATTGAGAAAAAACTTGCCTTTGATTTTGATCTCTCTTCGCCTTGGAAAAATGGTTTATGGGTTTTGGTTTTTGGGCTTTTTTTCTTTTTTCTATTTTTAATAGAGTTTTATGTACTATCGTGTCTGAGTTTATGAGATGAGATGATATATGAAGCGCAATGGGAGGCACGTGGGGGAAAGCTAAACAGATGGTTATTGATAGTTGAGTAGTGATGTTCACGTGATAAAAAGGAGAGTGATAAGGGGTGAATTCTTTTTTGTTTTCTGTTTTGGTCAGAGAGGGGTCATGGTATCTGTAGAAGAGAATGACAGTTGGGTAATAGTATATATAGCGGGCTTTACAGCTTTGGTAAAAATGATTTTTGGAATTGAAAATGGACCGAAAGTGTAGTTTGGGCAATAGGAGTTACCTCTTTTGTTGTTGGGTTTGTAAGCTCTTCACTTTACAACTTGCAGAATCATCTTCGTTTCAAACCCAACCAACCACTTTTCTTTTTTCCCATTTCACGTTATTCTTCCATGTAAAAGTGGTGGGAACTCTATAAATATTGTTAGGACGGAGGTTAGTTGATTTTTAGTAATTGCAGCAATAAACTATGTCCTCTATAAAATTAAATTTGAACTCCATCTGCATTCTTATTATTGAATAACTTTTTGTTAATATATTCCAATCACATGTTTTATCAAGATCTCTTCTCAAATAGATTAATAATTTTATGTATATATTTAAATCGGATTGGTGTATCATGATGAAACATGAAGCATATTGGTGAACAATTTCTTCAAGGCCTCTCTGATGTATTTGCCAGCAAGAATCACGAATTAATCAATTCCTAATCTCACTTGTGCTTAAATAATGTTCGGATATTCATTTTTTTTTTATTAAACTTCATACATCATTAAAAAAAAAAAAAAAAAAAAAAAAAAAAAGACCTTCAATGGAGGTTTTTATTAAACTTCATACATCATTTAAATTTTCCTATGCAAAGTGTTATTGACATAAAGATGGAAATGGAAATGGAAAGGGCTCGCGGTACGTTTTAACAAAGTTTTAGGTGTCTTCTTGAATCAGGGGCCAGTAATACCCTTGATGGATAACTTTGTTGGCGAGAGATCGTGCGGCTGTGTGATTACTGCAAATTCCTTCCTGTATCTCCCTCATGATATAGTTTGCCTTTTCATCGGTTACACATTGGAGAAGAGGGATGCTAAACCCTCGCTTGTATAGCTGATCTCCTATGAGAGTGTAACGAGTAGCTTTTGTTCGTAGGGTTCTTGCCTCGACCTTATCGTTGGGCAGGATCCCCTCTCGGAGATACTGAATGATAAGGGTCATCCAGGAGGCTGACTCGGTCACATTCACAGCCTGTTTGGATGAACTGATACTGGAGGCCTCTATGAATCGAACAAGAATGCTCTCTGGCATGTCCGAGTCCAGCGATGAGGCTATCTTTGCCAAGGCACCCGCGACAGAGTTGCTGTCCCTAGGGATTTGCGTGATCGTGAAGTGCTTAAATGGCTCGAGTGAGACCTTAGCTTTCTTCAAATAGCCGATCATGTTTTCTTCTTGGCATGATATTCCCCCAAAATCTGGTTGACAACCAGCATGGAGTCGCTGTGGATGCTGATCGCAGTTGATCTCATTTCTCTTGCCAACCACAATCCAGCGAGCAAAGCTTCATACTCGGCTTCATTGTTGATCGCTTTGAACCCGAAACAGAGAATGCCATGAATGTGAGTCCCTTCCGGACTTAGGAGGAGAAGGCCTGCCTCGACCCTTTTCGTGTTCGATGACCCATCGACATGGAGGCTCCAGGTCGATAGGTTCTGAACAATTTTCTGGGTGACTTCGCTGGCATGTTGCTCAGATTCCTTTATTGGATGATATGAGAATTCTGAGATGAAATCGGCAACAACCTGCCCTTTGATGGTTGCTTTCGGTCTATACTACAGATCGAACTGAATTAGTTCCATGGCCCACTTAAGCAATTTTCCTATGCAAAGTGTTATTGACATAAAGATGGAAATGGAAAACTTGTCACAATTCCTTGTCCAGCATAACGTAGATCGTTGGTGCGTGATTTTGACACCAACTAAACGCAAGTGGGAAATGCTGAGCTGACTCAGAAGACACACATGTATGGGGGTATTGAACTGAATAAAAGATGAAGAATAGTATTTAAAGTGGTTCAGATGCTTAAGTAAGCGAATCCTATGTCCACTGGTATTGTATTAATATATGAGATCAGGTCGCGTTCAGCGAGCTAACTTATAAGAGAGAGAGAGAGAGAGAGAGAGAGAGAGAGAGAGAGAGAGAGAGAAGGAGAAAGTATATGCTATTCTAGGGAAAAATTAGCTAATCCCACAAACGGGAGAGGAACCATCTATTTATAGTGGGATGAGTTAAGGTAATGATTACTAAATCTGTAAGTGGGTCAGGTTGCCGTGCAAATCTTTCCTTGCATCCCGTTGTTCACCTGCTCGAGTGATTTACTTGATGTGTGTAGGGATTGGACACGTGGATCTTCTCTAGCCTTTCACCAGTCAGGCGCGCACCCACTGCATTGGCACGAGCATGCCGCTCGCGTCAGCGTGCAACGTGGTTGCGTTTGAATGGTGCAGGACTTACCTAAGCTCTGACCGCTTACACTGACAGGGCTTTACGTCAGCCCTACTTTTCCAGACATAACAGAAGTCCCCTAGTTTTTAAGGTTTGAGAATTGAACCTTGGAAACTACATATTATGCCTTGATTTGATGTGTTTAAAGAGAAACTAGTCGATCCGACCTAGATGCAAAGAAGTCAAAGAAACATTTCCAAGAAGGCGACCTAAAATGACTTACTCTAAGGGTCAACGACCTATTCTTAGACCATATTCAGTGCCATAACGATGACTCTGGTCTTTATCCGAGGTTCACGATGTTATTGCACTTAGCGGAATTTTTGCCAAAGACAAGGAATCACGTCGCTTTGCAACTGACATAAGACGATCGAAGAGTCACGTTGCTTCACGACTGACATAAGATGAACAATGTTCTATATAATGACCTCTTCAGATGTTATTCATTGCACTTTTGTAGCTGATACATTTAATGAAATATCTTTTGTTCTGACAGACGTGTCCTATGCGCAATAAGTGCCAACCATGCGCATTAAATGCGAGTCATGCTGAAACGACATTCCCTATCAGATCATTAAATGCGGACGTGGACGCATTAAATGCGGAGAGGGGAAACAAGTCGTCGCTTGAGTGTTTCAACGGAAGAGAATGACGATTTGGTTTCTCAAAGCGTGATGGTCACTCTTTTTCATTGATTTGCGACACGTGGTCGCGATCAACGGTCAGATGCGTTTTCAGCCCAAACGTCGTTTGACTTCGGAAAACCAAAGCGCCACTTCCTTCACTATAAAACCCCAAGCTCACTTCAGGTAATGTCACAATCTCACCTTCTCAGAGAGAGCAAAAATTTTTGTGAGCCTTGGTTCTTTGTCTTTCATATTGGTGCGTGCTTGATATTCGAAGCAGGAGGATTAATCTTCTTATCCAAGAGGTAAGGATGGTTTCTCTGCCACTTTTGTTATTATTTCTTGTTTTCAACGGTTGTCATGCGATGATAGTCTGCCGGTAGTTGATCAGAGATGAAATATTCTCCTTAGGTTTGAGCCATTTGATGGTGGCTCTAAAAGTGTTCTGTTAGGGTTTTTCTAGGGTGTAAGGGAGAAAGCTTTTTACTTTCTCCTCCACGTCATCGTACAAAATAGTGTACGAGGACTGAATGATTCCCTGCATGTCGTTTTTTTCAGACTGCAGTAGAATGGACTCCCCAACGACCAGAATTGAGGAGGGGACCAGCTTGCCTGTGCAGGATGCTCCTGCAGGTCCCCCTCGAGAGATCCTATCGATGATTACTGCTGAGGAGATTCAGAGGGTGGTAGACCAAGACGCTCTTAGCATAGAGGTCTTCCAAGACAGGATACACACAGCTCGGAGTCTGCCACAAGGGATGGCTGTGATCTTCGAGAATATTTTCAAAAGTGGAGGGTTGATCCCTTTCCACCCTTTTGTTAGGTCGGTCCTCGATCATTTCGGGATCGCACCGCTATAGCTAACGCCGAACGCATATATGATAGCAGTGGCTATGTATATCGCTTGCGGTGAAAACAGATTAGGTGAGCTAACCGCGCTGGAGCTCGGTTGCTCGTACATCCTAAAGAAGAGCAAGGACAAAAACTCATTCTACCTCTCCAAACACTCTACGATAGAAGCAGGAATACATAGTTACCCCAACAATGTAGGGGCGTACAAGACAAAGTTCTTTTTCTTTCGATACGATGACATTTGTCACTTTCAAGAGCCGAGTAAGTTCTCCTTTCTTTTGAGGTCGCGAATTTCCTTTTTATCTTTGCTAATGAGCTCTTTGTTTCTTTGCAGTTAACAAAACGAGTAGGTTATCACTCCTCGAGGATCCAGACAGAATCACTACCTTGGGTTTTCAGACAGAAGAGAGTCGCGACGCAAGGCTGCTCGTGACAACCATAAATTTGCCAAAGTACGGTTTTTTCAACCCATGAGTGGCCTTAGAGACCCCATTGAGTAAGCTTCTTAACCTTAGCCTGTTTTTTGATTTTTCATGTAGTGAACTGTTTTACGAATGATGTTCGCATGCAGCGACCATGCCTCTCAAGGTGCCCAGATCACCGCAACCAAGGCAATTTTCCTTCCCTCAGATGGGTGTCACCGGACCAGCTGGAGTGGCTCTTAGAGATTCCCCCGTCGGAGGGACACCGTCGAGCGCTCTGGCCCGACCTGCGGGCGCTCCCCAGCCTTTGGCTGGTCGCCCGAAGCAGAAAACAATGGCTCAAAAGTCCAAGAAGCGGAAGCAACTTTGGGCCGAAGAGTCAGAGTCCGAGACTGTGGGTTTGGGCATCCAGCCCGAGAGGTCACAACCTTACCAAGCGTTTTGCTCGGAAAGGCCAGCCAGGGGCGTGACCAGCATCTCCATTTCCCCAGAGGGTCCGCGGATGAGGCAAAGGGAGGTCGCAGGTCCAAGGAGGAGGTCGGGCAAGGAGCCCGAGGAGGAGATTGTACCTGTTGCGGGCATGGGCATGGGCATGGGCACGCCCATGCTAGACTCGATGGGCAAATTCTGGAC